CCACTGTTTTCACAGACACTGTATGGATGTGGCCCGATTTAGGAGGGGGGCAAAAGCAGCTGCTAAACAGGACAAATGCAATTTGGCCTTTGCTGTAATTACACACAGAAGAAAGAGTGCCCAGTAGCAATCACAGAATGTTAGCTATTACAGTGTTGACTGGAGGTTAACTTTAAATCTAGCACCTACAAAACAGAGGTAGAGTGATTAAACACTCAGCAAGGATATTTTTTAAGAATCCAAGACTTTGGGGGGAGAATTCCTTTCGTGGTTGTTGGGCTATATAGGTAATGGAGACAACTTTGGGGTACATTGGCATGACAAAGGCAAGGTATGTCCGAGTAAGTAAGGTACAGCTGTATAATATACAAGTGTATATGGATATTTGCTGATTATACTCACTCAGTAACGTTAGTTGTATCCTAGTATTAGACTGCCAGCCAAGTTAGGTGTAAAGTCTTTAATCCATCTATAACTTGTTTCGTCTGTGTAAATGCAGCTTGCCTCCTCAAACACGAATTTCAGTGGCATTACATTGTGACAGGAACACATTCTACGATGTAAATCAACGGATAAACACACAGTGGCAAAACAAAAGACGCAGGGGAGTTATGTCCAATTATTGGTACTGTACATTAGCCAACAACAGTTAGCTTACTAGAATTGCCATTGTACTGTGTCTTCAATATCGCTAACGTCGTAGCTAGCTAGCGAGTTGGTCACGTTAGATAACTAGCTAGCTAGCCTAGTTGCCGATATTAATTGCCTGTCTCTAGGCTAGAGCTGGTTAATGTTAACTAGTTAGCTAACTAACAACAACGGTAACATTCATTCGACTTCCTTCCTGTCCAGTATTTGAGTACTTCTGGGTTTGCCAAATTCTGACAACATGGTTAACTAATAAAAACATAACTAGCTAGATCTCTCCCCAACTGGGCTAACGTTAGCTAACAATGCAATGTGGACCTTTTAGACAGTTCGCTAGCTAGCTAACTGCTACCTAGTGACAGACAAACGGTTAGATAACAGTTAGTTCGACGCTAGCTGCTATTGGGATCTAGCTAGTATCGAAGCAATTTCCTAGCTCAATTTGTCCGAAACGGCTAGCTACTCGCTACGAAAAGCTAGTTTGCTAACTTGATTAAACTAGCTATATGGTGGGACCGAGTATTTCAAATCTCGGCCAGCTTACCTTTTTTAAAGTGCGTTTAGCTTCTTTGCTAGCAATCCAACTCCTTTGGCATGCTAAAATGATAGCTTTTTCCAACTTCGCTGGGCTCGCAGATTAGATATTTCAGTATGTGTCCTCACCTTCCTTTTCCCTTCGTTATTTTTTTTTAGAACGTTCTTCTTTTCATTTTTTCAAAAACTCGTCGAATGGCAACTATCCTCCTTGACAGATTGGTAAACAATTTTGCGGTTTGTAGTTTCTGATATGAGTACCACTGCCAAAATGTTGGCAATTTGCCCCGCCCTTTGCATTGTATGATTGGTTCAAATTGTTTACACCTACATTGTATAAATTATTGTATTTGTTGTTCAGGATCTGGAAATGTTACGCCTCTGCATTGATTGGATGGTGTTCCGAGGTAAGGTGCTTTTCACACTGACGCCTCGATCACACCAACAGTTTACCGCTTCAATCACACCGACAGGGCTTGCGCAAAATGGTACGCAGCATCATCTGGATAGCTATGTGTGCAACAAAAGTTCAACATTCACCTTCTGCTACCATTTTTGTCAAGCCATCTAAGCATACAGTTTGATGCATATGTTCGATAAATCCAATGTAGCAAGGCAAAGCAGCTTTCCATTGGAAATGAATGTACTTCTGGTGTACCAAAATGCAATAACACTTTTGGTGTGATCAAGACCCTCCCCCATCCCTCAAACCCACCCAACCCTGTCCAACCTAAAACTTAATGACCTTTAATCATATGATTTTTGTAAAGTTCATGCAGTCGACATGTAGGCGAAAGTCTGATAAAAAATGTTATGCAACACTCTTTGAAAGCGTTGGTAACCGACTTGACAAAAATGATTTGCTCGAACGTGCCCAAGTATTTCAATCGGGAGCAAGCGTTGGTCTTGAGGCGTTGTTGTGTCTGGACCGGGCGTGCTAGTTGTCAGAGCTGGGGCTTGCACAGAGGGTCAGGATAAAGATGAGTCTGTGACAGTAGGAGTGACATTTTTGGAAAAAGTGGACACTTGCCTTTTGGCTGATCCATTTGTGGTTTCAGGGAGGGTGAAAACAGTTGGGTGCTGTGGAATTGGTGAAGGTAACCAGAAGTGGTCTTGTGATAATTGTTTGTGTTTCTGCTGGTCAAAGGGTGCAGGCGCTCCGCGTTAAACAAATGGAGACAAGAGATGCAAATTGTTTTGTGCTCAAGAAAAGGGTGCCATTGAAAGGAGTGATTACGTGGTAGAGGTAAATGTGAAAGTTGACCAACTGAAAGGGAAGATTCCCGGTGTTAGTCATGCACGTCGTTTGTCGTTTGGTGCGACTTAGACAGGGTGGCGTAAGTGGTGAAACAGAAGAGTTGTTGTATGTTCTTTTGAGTTTTGATGTTGAGTCTTTGCCCGACAAAGGGATGTTAGGGTATATAAGTTATCCTGTACAAACTTTTGTGCCGAATACATTACGTTGTTACAGGTGTCAAGCTTATGGGCATGTGGAAGCAGTGTGTAGGAGGGATGTTCCTAGGTGTCAGAAGAGTGCAGAAGGGCATGAGACAAAAGAATGTGTAACATTGGGGAAAGTAGTGGTATGTGTTAATTGTAGGGGTGCCGATGGGGTTGGTGATCAGAAATGTCTGGTGCGAGAGAGGCAGATTGAAGTTTCCAGGGATAGAGTAGTGCAGAAGTTGTCATATGCTGAGGCAGTGAAGAAAGTAGAGGAAGAAAAAAAATGTATGCACTCACTAACTGTAAGTCGTTCTGGATAAGAGCGTCTGCTAAATGACTAAAATGTAAAATGTAAATGTAAAGATGGGGCAAGGGGAAGGGATCCTGAGAGGAGTGGTGTGAGTAGTAGATCTGCACCAGTACAGAGGGCTAGGCCAACAAGTGATACAGTGAGGGAAAAAAGTATTTGATCCCCTGCTGATTTTGTACATTTGCCCACTGACAAAGAAATGATCAGTCTATAATTTTAATGGTAGGTTTATTTGAACAGTGAGAGACAGAATAACAACAACAAAATCCAGAAAAAAATGTTATAAATTGATTTGCATTTTAATGAGGAAATAAGTATTTGAACCCCTCTCAATCAGAAAGATTTCTGGCTCCCAGTTGTCTTTTATAGAGGTAACGAGCTGAGATTAGGAGCACACTCTTAAAGGGAGTGCTCCTAATCTCAGTTTGTTACCTGTATAAAAGACACCTGTCCACAGAAGCAGTCAATCAATCAGATTCCAAACTCTCTACCATGGCCAAGACCAAAGAGCTCTCCAAGGATGTCAGGGACAAGATTGTAGACCTACACAAGGCTGGAATGGGCTACAAGACCATCGCCAAGCAGCTTGGTGAGAAGGTGACAACAGTTGGTGCGATTATTCGCAAATGGAAGAAACACCAAAAGAACTGTCAATCTCCCTCTGCCTGGGGCTCCATGCAAGATCTCACCTCGTGGAGTTGCAATGATCATGAGAACGGTGAGGAATCAGCCCAGAACTACACGGGAGGATCTTGTCAATGATCTCAATGCAGCTGGGACCATAGTCACCAAGAAAACAATTGGTAACACACTACACCGTGAAGGACTGAAATCCTGCAGCGCCCACAAGGTCCCCCTGCTCAAGAAAGCACATATACAGGGCCGTCTGACGTTAGCCAATGAACATCTGAATGATTCAGAGGAGAACTGAGTGAAAGTGTTGTGGTCAGATGAGACCAAAATGGAGCTCTTTGGCATCAACTCAACTCGCCGTGTTTGGAGGAGGAGGAATGCTGCCTATGACCCCAAGAACACCATCCCCACCGTCAAACATGGAGGTGGAAACATTATGCTTTGGGGGTGTTTTTCTGCTAAGGGGACAGGACAACTTCACTCTCAGCCAGGTCATTGAAAATGGGTCGTGGATGGGTATTCCAGCATGACAATGACCCAAAACACACAACCAAGGCAACAAAGGAGTGGCTCAAGAAGAAGCACATTAAGGTCCTGGAGTGGCCTAGCCAGTCTCCAGACCTTAATCCCATAGAAAATCTGTGGAGGGAGCTGAAGGTTCGAGTTGCCAAACGTCAGCCTCGAAACCTTAATGACTTGGAGAAGATCTGCAAAGAGGAGTGGAACAAAATCCCTCCTGAGATGTGTGCAAACCTGGTGGCCAACTACAAGAAACGTCTGACCTCTGTGATTGCCATCAAGGGTTTTGCCACCAAGTACTAAGTCATGTTTTGCAGAGGGGTCAAATACTTATTTCCCTCATTAAAATGCAAATCAATTTATAACATTTTTTACATGCATTTTTCTGGATTTTGTTGTTGTTATTCTGTCTCTCACTGTTCAAATAAACCTACCATTAAAATTATAGACTGATCATGTCTTTGTCAGTGGGCAAACGTACAAAATCAGCAGGGGATCAAATACTTTTTTCCCTCACTGTATATGCTTTAGTAAGATTGGATTTTTTGCGTTTATAGCAATGGTTATCAACTGTACTTCAGGGATGGAACGTAAGACGCAGAAAATGGAGGTTGTGGTGGCAGCTGCAGAGGTATTTGGGTGTACGAGACTTGACATCAGAAGAGTTACAGGGTGTGCTGAGTGGTGGTGTCCCATCCTTTCAGGCTGTTGGCCTGAGGTAGGACTAGATATATTTAAATAGTGGAGTAGGGTGGCTGGTGTGTAGGGTTAGATGGTAGGGTCATTGTTGATTTATTTGTATTATTTATTTATTTGTTTTCAAGTAAAGTATAAGCGAAGTATACTCCAGTCTAGTAGGTGGCGGTAATGCAACATTTATTGGATGTCCAGCGCCGTTAAACCTCATCGAAGAAGAAGACTGGGCACGCTTCTGGACGCGTGACGTCTACACTCACGTTTTGCTCAAGGCCCTCTGATTACAGCAACTTCCCTGCTTTGAGGTCATTTTTGAAGTATCAACTGTTTCCCCTGTTATGCATGCACATAACCTCGAAATAATGGTGTAGCACATTTTTAACTATCTCAATTTATCTTCAAGTCATGTCACAAACGTCAATGGGATTCACGGATCCCCAACAACAACAACAGCAGCAAGGGGCTCAGGTACAGTAACGTAGCTAGCTAACAGTAGCTAACCGCTAGTTAGCATTCTGTGGATTAGTTTGCTAACAAACGTTAGCTAGCTTGCCAAACAAAGTTAATCCAAGCTAGCCACAACAGCACTTTTTAGTCGTTAACTCAAACATGAGTAATTAGCAAGTTAATCAAGTAGTACTGTAGTAATAATATCGGCGATAACGCTATTATGTGAGGGAAAGGTATTTTTCTATCTAACTGCTAAAGTTAACATTTCAACCTCTCCAGTCTCCACTCACTACAGTAGACGACTGGCGTGTATGTAGTGCAGTGGAAAAGCAGAACACGGCAGAGTTTACTTTAATCTGCTATGTATATGATATCTAGGTAATTAAAATATCTACATTTCTGTACGCTGTTGAACAGGGTCAAGTTGGGGCACCCTACATTCCCACGGAGGAGGAGAAGAGAGTGTTTCGGGAATGCAACCAAGAGAGCTTCTGGTACAGATGTAAGTCATGCTACAACATAAGGTTGTGTTCCAAATAGCACCCTATTCCCAAGCCCTTGATCATGACTCTGATTCATTACATTACACATAAGTCATTGGACGAAGGCGTCTTCTGTACGGGGAGTTTTAAGAGCCTTGACGCTTGGTCTAAATATTAACATGCATCGCTTGCAGTATGGATTTGGAAGCATAAAAGCCAATTTATGCTTGTTCTGGCAATGCAATGTGGAGGTTCCATGCCTCCGGAGGCTTGCGGAGGCCAAATCGAGCTCCGTACTGCATCGCCCTGCGCCTCCAAAATGTTGTAACAATGCAGAGGGCTCCGTATTAGAGCTCTGCTACCCGACCCGACGTGCACCGACATTACAAATGGGGTTAAGGCTGGGTATCATTAAATGTATCACTAACATTTTGAAGCTGAGCCATTTGCTCGTTCTCTGTTGCACAGTACAGTCATATGACTAAAAGGCTCTGCATGGCCAATCTGACGTCTGCATTGGCCGTGCAGCATTTACGGCCTCTGCAGAAGTCAGGGCATTCATACTTCTTAAGCTATGCGGCGCAGAGCTGTTGTGAAGGAAGCGTTTGTTTATACAGTAACTCACGCCCCCACCTACTGTCAACCAAACATATCAATGCAGAGCTATACGGCACTCGCCGCATTGTTACAAAATTTGGGAGGCACATAGCGATGCGGTACGGCGCTCAATTTGGCCTCTGTATGCCTCGAGGCTCCGCAATTGCATCACACCCTCCATACTCAGCCTCCGACCACATTGACGGATCAAGCATACATTTGCTTTAAGAACATAACATGGTGTCAGAAGTGCTTAAACCGTCCAATATACTGAACAAAAATATAAATGCAACAATTTCAATGATTTTGCTGAGTTACAGTTTATATAAGGAAATAAGTCAATTAAAATAAATTCATTAGGCCCTAATCTATGGATTTCACATGACATAGGCCCACCCAATTGGAAGCCAGGCCCAGCCAATCAGAATGAGTTTTTCCCCACAAAATGGCTTTATCCTGGGCTGGCGTGGTTACATGTGGTCTGTTGGACGTACTGCCAAATTCACTAAAACGACGTTGGAGGTGGTTTATGGTAGAGATGAACATTACATCTCTGTCATAAACTCTGGGGGACATTCCTGCAGTCAGCATGCCAATTGCATGCTCCCTCAACTTGAGACATCGTGTTGTGTGACAAAACTGCACATTTTAGTGGCCTTTTATTGTCCCCAGCACAAGGCGCATCTGTGTAATGATCATGCTGTTTATTCAGCTTCTTGATATGCCACACCCAGGCGGATGGATTATCTTGGCAAAGGATAAAATGCTCACTAACAGGGATGTTAACAAATTTGTGCACCAAATTTGAGAGAAACAAAGCAGAGCCAGCGATACTTTTTAAGGAGATGGGAATCGTATTAACGTCCATCGTGTACGTTGCCCATGCAATGTCAATGGGCCGCGCGGTGCATTCTGGGTGATTCTGTGACAAGGAGAGCTCTCCTTCAAGGAGTGAATTGGCGTCAATTAGGCGCTTGCTCAAAAACCTAACATTAGCAATAATTTCTTCAACAAGAAGTACAACATTACAAATATTTTCCAAGATGTGAAATAATTAACCTGCGATCTGTTTTATTGTATAGCTTTGGAATTGTGACGTTACGTACTTTCGAGGAAAATAGACAGTTCTCAACTCATACCCTGACTTTGAGAAGGGATTATGTGACGATTATTTTAGCAACCGAGTGACGCAACATGACAACGTGAACGTGATTTGTCAACATTCTGCTGTGTAGGGCGTTATGCGTTCTTTCATTCATTGCTCAATGGGATTCCTATCTCCTCCTTTCTCTAACATCTCTGGCAGAGCAGCCCAAGCAGAGCGATCGAGTGACAGACAGACACAGAGGACGTTCTTTCTGATTTCGGGTTTTGGGCAGGGCCTTAAATTTGGCAAAAGCAATCGGGCCTGTGTAGGGTAGGGCCTGAACGTCGCCGGCATGGGTATGGCTCAAAATTAATGCCTGTGCAGGGCTCTACTCCTAATAGCGCCTTATAGCTCTGCATTGACATGATTGGTTGATGGTAGGTGGGGGCGGGAGGACCTGTATAAACACAAACTCACTTCCTTGAGAACAGCTCTGCTCCGCGAAGCGCAAGAAGTATGAATGCGCTGACTTCTGGAGGCCGCATCGCAGTAAATGCTTTACGGCCACTGCAGATGTCGGATTGACCATGCAGAGCCGTTAACGCCTCAAGCCTCGTTCACATTACCCATAAGTACTCAGATGTCATGCATTTCAATGGAGACGTCCACAAGGGCGTGAAAGTGCAATGCCCTCTTGTGGTTGAAGGCTCCGTTGCGAGACAGACACCGCATACTTGGACATTTTTCTAACTGCCTCGGAAGTTACCAAAACAGAGAGATGAAAAATGTGGTTTTCGGTGATGGCTTTATGGGATAGCTAGCAACTTGTAAACAATTACCCATTCCAATAAGTGAGTACTATTTGAATAGTAATGTTAAATAATACACATTGGCTTTTAAGTTAATTATGACTGTTGCCTCCGGTTTAAGTTTATTGTGATGGTAATGATGTTTGTTTTGGATGATAATTGTTAGGTGGAGGTTGGTAGCTACAATGGTATGTTCAACCTAGCCTAACTTTTAGGTAGCTAGCTGCTCTGCAGTGCAAGCTGGCTTGACTTAGAGAAACAAGTTGAGGAAAAAGTAACTAAACATGTTTTATCACCTGAAACAACAATATTTATCCTGTCTCGAATGAAAAGGTCATATTTTGCAATCTCCCTAAATAAATGTAATATCTGACGAGAAACAGGCTCTCCTCCATCTCAAACATCTGTTTTATTACTTGTCCGTTCAGTAGCGGGGCAAGACTCCGTGAAGATGACTTACGGTGTAATGAAATGCATCACGATGTGAACGGACCAACTTTTTATTAGCATTAGACCAGAACCATGATACTGTTTGACGTATAAGTTTCAAAATTAGTCATGAAGATTAGGCTATTTTGTAGTTTTACATGATGCCCCGTTCACACAAAAAAATAACATTCCAAATCCATTGCCTTCACAAAAAGGTACAAAAACAATTATATTATTATTATTAAAACAAATAACCATAGTTTTCAAACCACTCAACATATAGGTCACTGAAAGTACAATTCCAGCTCATCACTACAGAATTAAGCCAACAGTTAATTTTTCAGCGCTAATGTTAGATGTGCCGCACTAGGCTGCGGTGCGTTCTGTATCGCATGCGTTCAATATTTTCTACGAAAGTACATACAGACACCAACTAGCTAGCTTTTAGTGAGTTGAAAAGCGAAGCACGTGCGTCAAGTTTGGAAAATATCCGGTAAAACAAAACGTATATGCATCTTGTGGACACCGGGCATGACATGCTTATCAGACCACGTTGCAAAATAAATGTACACATTATTCAGTCAACTGCTCGCGGGCGTCTGCGTTGCCAGGTGCTAAAGTACATTTACATGTACATTTTCGGCATTTAGCAGACGCTCTTATCCAGAGCGACTTACAAATTGGTGCATTCACCTTATGATAGCCAATGGGACAACCACTTAACAATAGTTTTTTTTTTTTTTGGGGGGGGGGGGGTAGAAGGATTACTTTATCCTATCCCAGGTATTCCTTAAAGAGGTGGGGTTTTAAGTGTCTTCGGAAGGTGGTGAGTGACTCCGCTGTCCTGGCGTCGTGAGGGAGCTTGTTCCACCATTGGGGTGCCAGAGCAGCGAACAGTTTTGACTGGGCTGAGCGGGAACTGTGCTTCCGCAGAGGTAAGGGAGCCAGCAGGCCAGAGGTGGATGAACGTAGTGCCCTCGTTTGGGTGTAGGGACTGATCAGAGCCTGAAGGAACGGAGGTGCCGTTCCCCTCACAGCTCCGTAAGCAAGCACCATGGTCTTGTAGCAGATGCGAGCTTGAACTGGAAGCCAGTGGAGTGTGCGGAGGAGCGGGGTGACGTGAGAGAACTTGGGAAGGTTGAACACCAGATGGGCTGCAGCGTTCTGGATGAGTTGTAGGGGTTTAATGGCACAGGCAGGGAGCCCGGCCAACAGCGAGTTACAGTAATCCAGACGGGAGATGACAAGTGCCTGGATTAGGACCTGTGCTGCTTCCTGTGTAAGGCAGGGTCGTACTCTGCGAATGTTGTAGAGCATGAACCTACAGGATCGGGTCACCGCCTTGATGTTAGCGGAAAACGACAGGGTGTTGACCAGGGTCACGCCAAGGCTCTTTGCACTCTGGGAGGAGGACACAACGGAGTTGTCAACCGTGATGGCAAGATCATGGAACGGGCAGTCCTTCCCCGGGAGGAAGAGCAGCTCTGTCTTGCCGAGGTTCAGCTTGAGGTGGTGATCCGACATCCACACTGATATGTCTGCCAGACATGCAGAGATGCGATTCGCTACCTGGTTATCAGAAGGGGGAAAGGAGAAGATTAATTGTGTGTCGTCTGTGTAGCAATGATAGGAAAGGCCACGTGAGGATATGACAGAGCCAAGTTACTTGGTGTATAGCGAGAATAGGAGAGGGCATAGAACTTAGCCCTGGGAGACACCAGTGGTGAGAGCACGTGGTGCGGAGACAGATTCTCGCCACGCCACCTGGTAGGAGCGACCTGTCAGGTAGGACGCAATCCAAGAGTGAGCCGCACCGGAGATGCCCAACTCGGAGAGGGTGGAGAGGAGGATCTGATGGTTCACAGTATCAAGAACGTGGTTCTATTTTAGATGCTTAATGCGCTGCAAGTCCTGGCTCTCCCATCTACTCATGGTTTTTCGAGCATATAGCCACATGTGTGATTGAAAGATGAATGAGGTCCACACTACAGTTGGTGGCGGTAATGCATATAAAGAAGAATGAACGAGGAGAGAGTCATCAAAGAAAACAAAAAAACTAATTAGGTTTCTCCTTTTAACTCTGGATTAATTGTTGGAGTAGCGAACACACGATTTTGTGCGACTCAAAATGGGTCAGAATTCTACAAAGATCCAGCAAAAAAAGGACCATAGGCATTTCAGGTAAAATAACAACCCAATGTGTATATCTCAGGACAAATTAGCTAGCAACAGCAAGCTAGCTAAATATCATTGAATGTTAAATGTCTTCCCAAATTAATATAGTTTGTTCACGGTTGGATTTGTTATTTCAACCTGCGTGTCATTAACGCTTCTGGTGAGGATAGACAAAATCAACATGCGCATGATGGTGGACGCACGCGCGGAGCCGGTTTGGTCATCATGTCGTTTATATCAGCGAGAAATAATTTTAAAAAACCAAAAGGTTAAAATGAAGCACACCTTTTTATAGGGTTAGGGGGCGCTTGTTTACGGAAAACAGACGGAAGGCAGAGTGGACTACCTATGCTAATTTAGCTATCTGCGTCTCCGAATACGGAAGATGGACGCCACAAACGTGTTGTCCCTGAAAAGTACTGTGTGTGCAACTTAAAACCGGTTAAAACAGTGTACAGTAAGTGTGTATTTTGCATTTGTGTAATTATTTTGATGTGATATGAAAGTAGAGGGATTTATGTTTCTAGAACCGTACTGCAATTGATAATCGATTCACGTTTAGATGGAGCATTTGGCTGTTTTGGCTTCCAGAGCAAATTTGCCCAGTAAAAATAACATGTAAGGTCCTTGGACTATAAGGAGTAACGTTAGGCTCCTTTACTCCAATATTGGGCTACATATTCCTTATGTTATAGCCCTATGGGCCTTGGTCAGAAGGAGCACTTGCACTATAAAGGGAACATGGTGCCATTTGTGAGGCATACCTGGGGTGTATTCATTATGCTGATTCTGTTGCAAAACATTTCTTAAACAGAAGCAAACGGGGAGGGACTTAGATTAATTTCTCCAATAGAAACTCTTGTTTTAGTGTCAAATTGTTTGGGCTAATGTTTACACCCAGAGGTTAAATTGGGCCGGGTCCCGCCGTGTCTGAGACACAACACCTATGATCCAAATGAGAGCCAGGTGGAGCTGAGACCAGGTACCTTTCAATATTTGAATTATGTCCACATTTTATTTTCTACAGCCAACAGCACGAGTAAGCAACAGCAAAATCAGACAACCCCATAGTAGAATGGTTTACCTATTTAATTGTTCAGCATGTCGCATTCTATGCGAGAAAATAATATTCCTCTCAAGGCGCATTCAAATTACGAATGCCTTACAGGGAGAGATGTGCATGCCCAGTCATTGTAGCCTACAACATTCTTATTGCAGTTGCGGGAAAACACACCTTTGAAAGCAGTCTTGATGGCCACTGTTAAAAGAGGATCACTGAGTTTTCTAGTGTTACTAGGCTACACTTATTTTGTAGACAATAAAGCTGAACGTTGAATGTTGTAGGTATTCCGCCATGATTACAAGTTTAGACTAATTTACCAATAAAACAATTGTTAGCTGACATGGCTAATTGAGTGACTGTCAGTGACTGACATAAGAGAAAAACGGCTGTTGCACAACCAGATTTTGAAATTGCATGTTGTGCATTCTACTACTCTATCTAGCTCCTAATATATACATACATACAGTGGGGAGAACAAGTATTTGATACACTGCCAATTTTGCAGGTTTTCCTACTTACAAAGCATGTAGAGGTCTGTAATTTTTATCATAGGTACACTTCAACTGTGAGAGACGGAATCTAAAACAAAAATCCAGAAAATCACATTGTATAATTTTTAAGTAATTAATTTGCATTTTATTGCATGACATAAGTATTTGATCACCTACCAACCAGTAAGAATTCTGGCTCTCACAGACCTGTTAGTTTTTCTTTAAGAAGCCCTCCTGTTCTCCACTCATTACCTGTATTAACTGCACCTGTTTGAACTCGTTACCTGTATAAAAGACACCTGTCCACACACTCAATCAAACAGACTCCAACCTCTCCACAATGGCCAAGACCAGAGAGCTGTGTAAGGACATCAGGGATACAATTGTAGACCTGCACAAGGCTGGGATGGGCTACAGGACAATAGGCAAGCAGCTTGGTGAGAAGGCAATAACTGTTGGCGCAATTATTAGAAAATGGAAGAAGTTCAAGATGACGGTCAATCACCCTCGGTCTGGGGCTCCATGCAAGATCTCACCTCGTGGGGCATCAATGATCATGAGGAAGGTGAGAGATCAGCCCAGAACTACACGGCAGGACCTGGTCAATGACCTGAAGAGAGCTGGGACCACAGTCTCAAAGAAAACCATTAGTAACACACTACGCCGTCATGGATTAAAATCCTGCAGCGCACGCAAGGTCCCCCTGCTCAAGCCAGCTGAAGTTTGCCAATGACCATCTGGATGATCCATAGAAGGAATGGGAGAAGGTGATGTGGTATGATGAGACAAAAATAGAGCTTTTTGGTCTAAACTCCACTCGCCGTGTTTGGAGGAAGAAGAAGGATAAGTACAACCCCAAGAACACCATCCCAACCGTGAAGCATGGAGGTGGAAACATCATTCTTTGGGGATGCTTTTCTGCAAAGGGGACAGGACGACTGCACCGTATTGAGGGGAGGATGGATGGGGCCATGTATCGCGAGATCTTGGCCAACAACCTCCTTCCCTCAGTAAGAGCATTGAAGATGAGTCGTTGCTGGGTCGTCCAGCATGACAACGACCCGAAACACACAGCCAGGGCAACTAAGGAGTGGCTCCGTAAGAAGCAATAAAATGCAAATTAATTACTTAAAAATCATACAATGTGATTTTCTGGATTTTTGTTTTAGATTCCGTCTCTCACAGTTAATGTGTACCTACGATAAAAATTACAGACCTCTACATGCTTTGTAAGTAGGAAAACCTGCAAAATCGGCAGTGTATCAAATACTTGTTCTCCCCACTGTACATACACGCACGTATTTGGACACACCTTCAAATGAGTGGATTCGCTATTTCAACCACACCCGTTGCCGACGTGTAGAAAATCGAGCACACCGCCATGCAATCTCCATAGACAAACATTGGCAGTAGAATGGCCTTACTGAAGAGCTCAGTGACTTTCAACGTGGCACCGTCATAGGATGCCACCTTTCCAACAAGTCAGTTCGTCAAATTTCTGCCCTTCTAGAACTGCCCCGGGCAACTGTAAGTGCTGTTATTGTGAAGTGTGAACGTCTAGGAGCAACAACAGCTCAGCCGCCAAGTGGTAGGCCACACAAGCTTACAGAACGGGACCGCCGAGTGCTGAAGCGTGAAAAAACGCCTGTCTTCGGTTGCAACACTCACTACCGAGTTCCAAACTGCCTCTGGAAGCAACGTCAGCACAATAACTGTTAGTCGGGAGCTTCATGAAATGGGTTTCCATGGCCAGGAAGCCGCACACAAACCTAATCTGGGTTTGGCGGCTGCCAGGAGAATGCTACCTGCCCCAATGCATAGTGCCAACTGTAAGGTTTGGTGGAGAATAAATAATGGTCTGGGGCTATTTGTCATGGTTCGGGCTAGGCCCCTTAGTTCCCGTGAAGGGAAATCTTAACGCTACCGCATACAATGACATTCTCTAGACCATGCCTCTATTCCTCTCTAGATTTCTCTTTTACTGAAGTTTATAGCTGCTGAAGTGTTGTGGGCATGCGTTGTTGAAATAAAGAGTTATAAGGATGGATCGATTCTGAATGCACTAATGACAACATTTATTCACAGCCCTTCCATTAACTGCTGTGGCAGTGTCTGTAGCTCAAGCACTCGTTATGAAAGGTACGTTTAATGTTAAGTCCATTGAAATTGTAATTAAAATATCAGCCTCTAATGCCTTTCATTGGATTTTACTTTACTTTCTATCTCTCCCTTTCAGGAGTCCTTGCACCCTCACCACGATTTGGTTCCCTGCCTAAAGTAGCTAGTAAGTGAAGGCTGAATATGAGGCTTGTCAGTGTCCTGCTGGAATTCAAAATGTAAATGTACCATTGTCATGTCTTGGGAATATTCATTTTTGTGTGTGCGTGGTGTCTATTTTCAGTTGCTGGTCTGTTTGGGTACATTGGCGGGAAGATCTCCTACACAAAGATATGTCAGGAGAAGTTCAAAAATCTGGAGAATTCCCCATTGGGTGACGCCCTAAGACAAGGACAACGTCATATCCCTCAACAGTCAGTATTGCATCTAATCCCCCTCCCCCATTGTGGTAACTGGTTATTGTTTTGACATCTTACCAAGTTACATTTTCATTGGAACCAGGTTTGCTCCTAAGAACCAGTCAGAGTTGGGAGATCCTAACCAGGCTTATTTTGAACAAGCCTCCCAGTCAGTGGCGGAACCTCGCGCTCAAGCAGACTCATTCAGCTACCCTAGTGACTTCTCCTATAGTGATCAGGCTGCTCTTTTGAGCCCTCCCATCAGTGAGTCTGGCCCCACAGGAGCTGCAGCTGATGTTAACCAACCAGGTATGGACATCAGGATTAGCATGTTGTGGTTACAGACATGGCTAATGCTCTCTCACTCATCCTTGTTTTATTCACAGAACTGTCTTCAAGCTGAATGTAATTTAGTTGAAGTAGAGAGAACATTTGGGAACATTATCTCACTTTTGAATCAACAGATTTTGTATTGGCCCTGGCCAGACACCTTGAATGGCAGTTTGCTCTGAAAGGTTTCCTCCCCTCACTGCCTTTTTAGTCCCTCCTTACTTGGATGATGAGACTCCCAAAAAGAGACCAATCCTGTACGAGGACCTACGAAGCAGAAACCGAGAGAACTACGAGGTTACCCTGACCCAAAAGGCAGACACTTTGCTCAAGTCCCCGGCTGAAACACCTGTTCTGAAGAGAGATGGTGACTCATTCCCCACAGTGATCTGTTATTGGGGCTATTTACATATGGGGCTTACAATGGTGATATGACCTGTCTATATAGGTTATTCAGTGTGTCAACAGTGCTCACATACTCAGTGTCTTTGGCCATAGCAGGGGGTCTGTATCAAGGAACATGCTAAGATACGCTAACATTTGCTTTTTAGATTGTAGCAATAATTAGCAGTGTAGCCTTTTATAATTGTTGAATTAAACAAACACATTATTCCGGGTGCGTTAGTGAACTACATTGCATAGACATGTCTGATTTTTTTGTATGGTTATTTTGTCTCCACAGTGAAAAAGAACCAATATGGAGATGCATGGGACGAGTGAAGAGTGTGCTTCAGGAGCCGGTGATCAGCTGCAGTACCAGGAGAAGAGGGCACATGTAGTATACACAAGACCTCTGCTATTTCTGCAATCATGCCATAGAAATCTGAAGAACACATACAGTACGTTCCCAAAGTGATCAATGTCAAATCATATATTGTCAAAAGGTTAACATGAATAGCAGCTTTCTAGAATTGTCCAATTCAATTGAATACAGCCAACAAGCTTACCAATAGCCTGTGTTTCAGTGGAGGCTTCTGAGGGGAGGGTGGCTCATAATAATGGCTGGAATGGAGTCAATGGAATGGAATCAAACACAAACACGTGGTTGATACCACTCCATTCCAGCCATTATTATGAGCAATCCTCCCCTCAGCAGCCTCCACTGCTATGTTTCCACCCTATCATTTTAGCTATATAACTGGGTCTTATTCAAATGTAAATGTTCAGTATTACCAGTGAGCTCATACTATTTTGAAGGTTTATCTGTAAATCCTAAATGAATATAATAGATTTTCTAAGTAAGTGAATATGTCCATTCTTTGGTGTTATCTGGACAGTATCTGGAGTCAGGTTATTGTGTTGAGGGTGGCAGAGATCACAGATTATAATGCTATGTGATGAAAAAGCAGAATGTTGAGGGCCTCTTTGAAGGCCATTTTAGCACAGGTGGACATCTAATGGTCTAGCTTGGCAGGGTGTTCTTGTCTCGGTAATAATGGATGGGTCCCCTTACTAGTTTTTTCACAGCGGTGTCAAAAGTAACAAAACAAAGGATGTGTTGACTGAGATGCCCTCCAGGACCAGGCTTGCCCAGCTCTCTAGGCTGTTGACTTTTCAGCAAGGTGTGGCGCAGACATAAAAAATAGAACTGTGTAACGCATATCTCTTTCCTTCCGCTTATGTTTTGTCAAACAATTGTGTTGATTATTAAATCATACCCAAATTGGTTTGGGTATGCCGGCTGTAGTCATCTGTCTCATTCATGCTTTATGCTCTATACCAAGGATCACCAACTAGATTCAGCCCCGGGCCGATTTTCTTCTTCAGCGATGGTCAGGGGGCCGGAACATAATTACAAATAATTTGAAGACTGCAAATTGACCCCAAGAACCCCAAACCGATATAATATTTGACTAAAACAATCATTTCAAACCTTGTTTACATTTGTATACAGTGAGGGGAAAAAAGTATTTGATCCCCTGCTGATTTTGTACGTTTGCCCACTGACAAAGAAATGATCAGTCTATAATTTTAATGGTAGGTTTATTTGAACAGTGAGAGACAGAATAACAACAACAAAATCCAGAAAAATGCATGTCAAAAATGTTATAAATTGATTTGCATTTGAATGAGGGAAATAAGTATTTGACCCCCTCTCAATCAGAAAGATTTCTGGCTCCCAGGTGTCTTTTATACAGGTAACGAGCTGAGATTAGGAGCACACTCTTAAAGGGAGTGCTCCTAATCTCAGTTTGTTGCCTGTATAAAAGACACCTGTCCACAGAAGCAAGCAATCAATCAATCAGATTCCAAACTCTCCACCATGGCCAAGACCAAAGAGCTCTCCAAGGATGTCAGGGACAAGATTGTAGACCTACACAAGGCTGGAATGGGCTACAAGACCATCGCCAAGCAGCTTGGTGAGAAGGTGACAACAGTTGGTGCGATTATTCGCAAATGAAAGAAACACCAAAAGAACTGTCAATCTCCCTCGGCCTGGGGCTCCATGCAAGATCTCACCTCGTGGAGTTGCAATGATCATGAGAACGGTGAGGAATCAGCCCAGAACTACACGGGAGGATCTTGTCAATGATCTCAAGGCAGCTGGGACCATCGTCACCAAGAAAAGAATTGGTAACACACTACGCCGTGAAGGACTGAAATCCTGCAGCGCCCACAAGGTCCCCCTGCTCAAGAAAGCACATATACAGGGCCGTCTGATGTTTGCCAATGAACATCTGAATGATTCAGAGGAGAACTGGGTGAAAGTGTTGTGGTCAGATGAGACCAAAATGGAGCTCTTTGGCAATCAACTCAACTTTCCGTGTTTGGAGGAGGAGGAATGCTGCCTATGACCCCAAGAACACCATCCCCACTGTCAAACATGGAGGTGGAAACATTATGCTTTGGGGGTGTTTTTCAGCTAAGGGGACAGGACAACTTCACCGCATCAAAGGGACGATGGACGGGGCCATGTACTGTCAAATCTTGGGTGAGAACCTCCTTCCCTCAGCCAGGGCATTGAAAATGGGTCGTGGATGGGTATTCCAGCATGACAATGACCCAAAACACACAGCCAAGGCAACAAAGGAGTGGCTCAAGAAGAAGCACATTAAGGTCCTGGAGTGGCCTAGCCAGTCTCCAGACCTTAATCCCATAGAAAATCTGTGGTGGGAGCTGAAGGTTTGAGTTGCCAAACGTCAGCCTCGAAACCTAAATGACTTGGAGAAGATCTGCAAAGAGGAGTGGAACAAAATCCCTCCTGAGATGTGTGCAAACCTGGTGGCCAACTACAAGAAACGTCTGACCTCTGTGATTGCCAACAAGGGTTTTGCCACCAAGTACTAAGTCATGTTTTGCAAAGGGGTCAAATACTTATTTCCCTCATTAAAATGCAAATCAATTTATAACATTTTTGACATGTGTTTTTCTGGATTTTTTTGTTGTTATTCTGTCTCTGTCACTGTTCAAATAAACCTACCATTAAAATTATAGACTGATCATGTCTTTGTCAGTGGGCAAATGTACAAAATCAGCAGGGGATCAAATACTTTTTTCCCTCACTGTATCACTATTATGCGTAGGAATACTTTGGAACTGATTTTCAAAATGTTATTTCCTTGGAGCTGATTTGCTGGTGTTTTTAGTCTTATGCCCCCAAAACTTGGGGGCCAAATAAAATCACCCACAGGCCGACAGTTGGGGAACCCTGCTTTATATTGTATGCTAGCTTTGTTTGGATGACTGACTTCTTACAATCACATGCATGCCAAAGTTGAAGTCGGCCCAAGTGATTTTCATTCATAGCCTACTTATGACCCAGAGTCTCACGCAAACCACACACCAATAACAACCCCCGCAGGGCCTCTGATCGTTATATCTCTGCTGGAGTATGAATTGGAGCAGTGATAGCTTTCATAATTAAAAGAATATGGCACAGCCATCTCAGATCTGTTCAACAATGCTGCGATGGCTCTTCCTTGTGGCAGTGACTGCTACATGGCGTCATCCTGAATACACATAAACCTCAACAAAAATCAACAAGATATTTAACTGAGGTAAATACTCTTATCTTTATTTTTTGTAGAACTTATACAAAACAATTACGTCATGTCTATTTGCAATGCATCGCCTGGATTGGCTCCAAGGTGTGTCAAACATACTTGGGAGAATAGATGAGGATCATTAGAATTGAGTGTGTGTGTTTTAGCTTTGCACATCCTCTGTTGGTGTAGCAGGGGCTTGCTGTCGCTTACACTCTTCACACACATGGTGGCAGTGTCTAAAAGAGGCAGAGAACCTGTTAATGTTAAAACTCATTAACAAACCCAGAACTTAAATCTTGCGTGATTACATTAGATGCTATGTTACATGTCTGTCCACGAGAGATTAGCTTTAGTATCACTCATACCAGCATGCAATAAATACCATTCTTGTGCTAGTGCCTTAACTTGAACCTACTTGATAAACCACTGGCATGATAAGGCTTAAGAAAAAAGACTACCATGGGCAACAGAAGTGACAAATTCCTCAGCTCTACTCACCTGGGTCCTGGGCCAGAACCACGCCCTCCAAAGCCACGGCCTCCAAATGGGCCAGGTCCAAAACCATATTCAGATTCTGGACCAAAGACCAGCCCAAGTCTCTGGAACCTATTTCTGCAGGTTGGAACATAGGAAGCCTTCCCCACTGCATAACAACCAATGATGCCAGCTGCTGAAGGGACAAGATCATTGGTCATAAACATGTTAAAACTCTGTATTACAGGTTAAGTCCAGATGCCACTTTTGGAATGTCCAAAGTAGCCTATCCCCTTTTATTAATCAGTTTTTATCCAGCAACTCTGCATCTACCACTGAGTATGGAGCCGCAACTGAGTCCATCAGCACTGAGGAAGATGTGTAACTAAGTCACCATAGAAACCAGGTTTCCCCAAACACAAGTATTGTAAACACACATGATGAAACCTGCTGGACGGAACCCTCTACTTCCTCTCTAATGGACTCCAGCTCACCTGCTAGTTTTGGGAATGGCCCAATTTTCTTTGATACACTCCAAACTCCTGCAAGAAAATATGATACAGTACATGTTTGTTTATGATGTTAAACCTGAACCTTGATTTAAACTGACTGATATGCGAGTGTCTTACCTTTGTAGATGAGCCCCCCCAGTGACAGCCATGCTTCCCATAGAGAGGGGAAGAGCTGAGAGGAACATGAGAACAGAGGTTAGTAGTCCTACTGATTTAGGGCCGGATTCAATCAAACCTGCACTACAGTAACCCCTCACTGAGGACAAATTAAGTTGTTCCTATGGTGCAAAGATGTTATTAAAATCAAAGGGAGTCCTGTTTTTCCCCACACCACTTAGTTAGAATGTGCATTAGCGTGACAAAGAAACAGTAATATTTTCTAGCAGAGCGGGTTTGATTGATTTTCAGCTTTATTTACATCATGCCTTTTCACTGAGCTTCCACTGTAATGGAGTTAATTAACCCCTCTGGTGACCGATGGTCAAAGAACAAAGTATTAAAAAAGGTTAAGTCATCTTCTGAAATAACGCTTTGAATACATGCCCATCAGTCGCCAACAGTATCCTCAGATGGGGGCAGTAGTTTCAGATGGAAGTAGTTTTCTGTTTTTAAAGCCTTTTAAAAGTGTACATGGAGGGTTAATTAAAGGTTAATTCACTGTTTTCTGTGTGATTATCAGAAAATAAAATGTGCAGGTCCAGAGTCCAAAGACCTGCTGTTTTAATGAGTACAGTATAGTGTGTGTGAATCAAAGTTTCATGTATAAGTGGGTAAAAAAATTAATCCTGAGGACCCAAGAAAATAATATACCATGTATATTATATACTTTGTGTGAGTCACATGACTGTTGCAACTATGCCACCAATAATGGCATGACTGGATCTAACATAAATGCAATAAAGTGGTGGTTACTCTAAGAAATATTTTACATATGATTAAATTCTAAGCATATTTTAAGCACAGTTTCAATACGAATAGGTACAACCCCCCCCCCCCCCCCCATGAGTGTATGGGTGGTCCCGGGGATCGAACCCACTACCTTGGCGTTGTAACCAGTTGTATTTTAGAACCAACATATACTAAACAAAAATATAAACGCAACATGTAAAGTGTTGGTTTCATGAGCTGAAATAAAAGATCCCAGAAGTTTTCCTTTCTCACAAAAAGTGTATTTCTCTCGAATGTTATGCACACATTTGTTTACATCCCTGTTAGTGAGCATTTCTCTTTTGCCAAGATAATCCATCCACCTGACAGGTGTGGCCTATCAAGAAGCTGATTAAACAGCATGATCATTACACAGGTGCACCTTGTGCTAGGGACAATAAAAGGCCACTCTAAAATGTGCAGTTTTGTCACACAACACAAGGTGTGCAATTGGCATGCTGACTGCAGGTATGTCCACCAGAGTTGTTGCCAGAGAATGTAATGTTCATTTCTCTACCATAAGCCTCCTCCAACATTGTTTTTAGAGAATTTGGCAGTGCGTGCAACCAGCCTCACAACCGCAGACCACGTGTAACCATGCCAGCCCAGGATCTCCACATCCAGCTTCTTTACCTGCGGGATCATCTGAGACCAGCCACCTGGACAGCTGATGAAACTGAGGAATATTTATGTCTGTAATAAAGCTCTTTTGTGGGGAAAAACTCATTCAGATTGGCTGGGCCTGGCTCTACAGTGGGTGGGCCTATGCCCTCCCAGGCCCACCCATGGCTGCGCCCCTGCCCACTCGTGAAAACCATAGATTAGGGCATTATTTATTTATTTAAATTGTCTGATTTCCTTATATGAACTGTAACCCAGAAAAATTGGTGAAATTGTTGCATGTTGCGTTTATATTTTTGTTCAGTGTAGTTGCTTATGACTGAAATACATTTTTACCATTCACAAGGTGTATGGTGGAGGTTCCTTATGAGTGAACTGATCAATGAAGGTCCCCATCGTGTTTTAGTTTTCATTCTAGCGCGAGGAAATTCCGATTTGAGGGGATTCGATAAAGTTTCCCCGGCCACCTGGCTCTGTCATGTCTTGATGGGATACAGCTTTTCTCAAATTTGACGTCAAATAGATTTGTTTTTGCATTTTAGCTAACCCTAACCCTTTTACTAATGTTAACCTAATTCCCCTAACCTGCTACATTCTAACATGCTGCGTAAATTCTCCTAATTCTGCTGCGAAAAGTCACATTTGACAAAAGCTGTATCCCGTCTAGACAAATCCAACTGGTTCAGGCCTGGGAGACAGCCCTTTTCCAAATGTAATGCAATAAACGTTAACCCGATTCACCCGGGACATTAATAGAATCCCCTCACTGATTATGGAGATCATTTCCTAGCCAATGAACCACAGCGGTGGGATGGCCTGGTTTGGAACTTTGATCTCTCATGTTAGTCCAAAGGAGGTTCTTAATTCTTTGTCTACAGCTGTCCTACATGACACCAGAGACAGCCTATCATGAAGGATTAGGGGTGCGGCTACTAGGTTCCTCGTCCACCTAAATTATCTGTGGACATGGTTATGTTGACATGTCCCGCCTACTGGCCGGTCCTCGGACTTCACACAGACGGTTGTGTGTTTATTAAAAATGCACTCTGATGTGGCAAGTAAGTATAGTTGTGGCTTTTGGTGTATTTTACGTGCGGTAGGATAGGCTCCACGTATTGATAACCGGGTCTATTGCATCTGTATACTTTTAGATTTGGATGGTTCTATGAACTGTTAATCGAATAAATGTCTGTACAGACTATCTGACTATAGCCTTTCCCAGTGTTGTCTTGGGGCGCAACAAAGGGAGAATACTGTGTACTGTTATTGCTAGAGGCACGCACATTTTGTTGGAAATTGTTAGGAACGGTAACATTGCCAAGGCAACTATTCTGTTCAATACATCTTAATGTGTCATTATTGTCGACCACATTATACTGATATTTTGTCGGTTATTTACGGGTGGGAATGCAGTGCAGCTGCATTGCAAGTAACACTTGGAAAACAATGCTGTGTAAGGCTAAATAGGTCAGTTTTCCAAGCAACTGCGGAAAATTACAGAGGATGAAAATTGTGACGCAGTTCTGTAAAATATATTTCTATGCCGGCTGCAATAGCTCTCTCTGACTGCGCGTCATCTACATCAATTGTTCCAAGAGAACCATAAGATACATTTATGCACTATTCCATAGGATGTAACATTTTTGTAACAATATAACATGCATTCATCAGTTGGGGTGAGTAGCAGGAGAGGGTTGTTGAATGAAATTATTCATTTCTGAGGCCTGGGAATTGTAGTCTAATTCCACTCTCCATTGCTCCTGATATAAGAGCCTTGATCCAGGAAATGGACTACAACAACCATGTCTCCATCTACTCTCCAGATACTTTCTAAACTCTGTGCAAGTTGTGCGTCTGTACCTATTTTAGGTAGGCTATATTCATCTAGTGTTTGATGGGATTCGACTAATATATATATATATCTCACTGGATTCGGCCTTTCGTTGATCTATCTTGCTTGTGTGAGCGTTTTCACAAAACTATGTTGACACTTAGCGAACGTAGATGAAGATAACATTATTTTCTTGGATAAGCATATGTCGGCATAGTGTTTAATCAAAATCGACAAACAATTTTTGGCTGGCATTCTTTGAACCCTTTTATACAGTAACGTTACATGTATGTATTGAATACCATCCTCGTGTCAGCCCGGCTCATGATCTGTAGGCCACTGAATACTAGTGCCTTTTATCTAGCAGTAGCCTATTGCATTATAGTACTTCATCATACTACCCTCTGGTTGGTAATTGTGATAGAAGACTACTATAACTGCTAATTTTTTTTAAAATTGTCAATCCCATGATGAAATGCCTTGATTGTTTGCAGTTATGGCTGTGACATCACTATTTAGTTATCCCAACTGTTTTGATGCAAATGATGAAGATGGTGATTAAGATGGTTGTACATGCATGCGTTCTCATTCATATTGGCTGAATGCAAGAGGTGACCATGGCTATGACAGAGGGAGCATGATGTAGGCAGGCTGTGGGTAGCAGATGGTGAGCTCTCCCTTCTCTGTGCCTTGGGAAACCTAGTGAATTGACATGTTATGCAGCATGTCATTAAGATGAGGTTATGTTTCTGTGAGCAGCAGATTTTTGTTTCATATACTGTTACATGTACTGTTGCATATGTGTTCCATATCTACTTATGTACTGTAGTAGTGTTAAAGTTAGCGATGTGCTGAAATTGTATTTTTCACCCTATAGATTTTCAGCTACACTCCCATTTGTCTACACTGGCCAGCATTCACAAAATCTACCACACCCTGCACAGGCTGGTAAAAGCATTTTGCCCTCATATCATTGTGTATTCTTCATGTGTCGTATGAGTACTAGCCACCTGTTCCAACTGTTGTTTCCTGTTGGACTTACTCTGGCACGACGCTAAGGATTTGATCGTGGACATTTCCCCCTATCTACAAATTAATCGGAGTTATTAATGAGTTATAGATATAGATTCATTTTGTATTCCTGGATGGACCCTTAAAGGGTGTGATTCATCCTATCGTCTCTCCTCCCTCTCTCGCTGTCTGAAATAATAACTGCATCTCTAAAGGTTACAAGCTTGAGGAAATGAGAGAGCAAGCCTCCTGTCCCTACACACCCTCCCCTTGCTCAATGCATGCAGAAGTCTGTGTGTTTGTGTGTCTTGGTGGTGGTTGCCTAATACATTTATCCCGCCCCTCAGAACCTGACGGAGAACGTTGGACAGGACAGTCACTCCACAGGTACCGACCCTGCCTGCACCTAATGCAGACCCATGTGACACTTGTACACCTATTGTCCCTGATCTCTATATCACTCTCTATCTCTCTCATATTGTGTTTCCCTCAGCCTGCTGCTCCAGAGCCATGCCTCCTAGGAAAAAGAGGAGACCCACTGCTGGAGATGACCTGCCAGCCAAGAAGAGTCGCCAGGACAGGTACTACCAACCTGCTACACCAACTTATGCAACAGTTAGCTAAGTAACTAGACTATATAGGAGAGGAGTGAGTGGCGCAGTGGTCTAAGGCAGTGCTAACTGTGCCACTAGAGATCCTGGTTCGAATCCAGGCTCTGTCGCAGCTGGCCGCGACTGGGAGACTCATGGGCGGCGCACAATTGGCCCAGCGTTGTCCAGGGTAGGGGAGGGAATGGCCGGCAGGGATGTAGCTCAGTTGATAGAGCATGGCGTTTGCAACGCCAGGGTTGTGGGTTCGATTCCCACGGGGGGCCAGTATAAAAAAATAATATATATATATATATATATGTATTCACTAACTGTAAGTCGCTCTGGATAAGAGCGTCTGCTAAATGACTAAAAATGTTATATCTAACAGTCTTATTCACTGTTCACTAATCTCTCGTGCACAGACTATGTAACAGAAATTGTATCGTAACATCTGTCAAAAGACTGTTGGATTTGATGACTAACGAGCAACGGTTATGTGTGGAGGTTTTTGTAACTGGTTATTTGAATAAATCATGGTTTAGCGGGTGTGCACTTCTTTGGAAATTCGGAAGGGGATGGTACATTTGACCCATAGCCTTGCTTGAAACTTGCAGAGAGATGGGGTGGAGTTATGGCCCTGCTTCCACTCCTCATTTTAGTAGATTTTCTCATACATCTCCCCCCCAGATTAATTACGCAAAAATGTTGTTCTGGGTTTCAGAGATTAACTGTTCACTGAAACCGTATGCATGCATGATGACAAGTGATTTGTCTCCCCAGCGAATTTGCATACGTCATTGCCAACTCAGAAATTCAAAAGAGCAGCAAGAGGACTTGTCATCACATAGCTCATCCAATAGGGATTAACAGGATGAACCTTTTTTACATCATAGTGTGTGATATGCTCCCAGACGGTAGGATTTTAAGTCGCTCAATGTATTCCCAGCACCTGCAGTAATGTCTGAAATATGCTGTGTGCACTTGTGCCATAGATTGTCTGAAATTGTCATTTTCGAAATGCAGTGTTTTTAGAAAACATGAGGCACCACAAATCCGAGAGGAGGAGAGCTTCTCCAGTAAAAGATGTCTGGAGTGGTTCTACGAATACGCAGGTGAGACAAGAATTGTAAATAAAAATATTCCTCTATCAGTTTGTATAAACACACAGACCATAACGGTGTAAATGCCTTCTCTATTACCCTTAGATTGGGGTTTTCATGTCATAGTTAAATTGTGTTGTATGACAAAGCTGTGACTAGGGCATCATTGATTGCTTCATAAAGGATGTCTCTTGCTTGCTGAAATTGTCGTAGATTAATGTTTTATATGTCACCTGCAGGTGGGATAGGGTCATAGAGAATTGTTATGTATATATGTATGCATTGTGATTGTCATTTTTGCTGTGATGTCAGAGTGTATGACATAACAATGGAGATAACCAATTATAGTTTTCGTGATGTTATAATAGTGAATGCTTTGACCTCCTGATTATGACATGTTAATAGAGTAGAGTCTCTATGGTTGCGATGTCATAGCATTTTTGTGTCTGGCTACTATGCTGTCATAATATTGCAGATTGATGCTATGCGTTTGTTTATGGTAGGAGTTGATGATGGCGTATACAGCATATATAATGACTCTGTGTGTGTGTGTCTTTAATAGGCTGTGATGATGTCGTGGGGCCAGAGGGAATGGAGAAGTTCTGTGAAGACATTGGAGTGGAACCAGAAAATGTAAGGATGGCTAGTCATGTCTATGTAGATGGGTGACATTTATAATCCATCTACATGTGCATGCAAATCCTAAATCATCACAATGGATCTAATCATCACAACTCTTATCTAAATTATCCGGGGGCACACCTGTGTCGCTCCTCTTTGAATTATCCGCCATCCGACTAGCAGAATAACGGTTTACAGTACAATGACACATATCAAAATTCTTAGCTCTTTATGAACTCTTTAAACAATCCAAACATGACAATTTAATTCACACAGTAACATTCATTTAGTCGATTCAAGTTTCATCAGTCTTCACCTCTCCTGGCTTCAATGACCCTAGGACTTCTGTGGGAATGTCTCTTCATTGAGATTTCCACATAAGGTGTTTTTAACCCTGGATAGCCCACAGATGGTCTGCCATCCAAACGATGTAGTCATCATGCTGTGCTCCCACATCAGCCATCACTAGAAGCGAGTATCACCTTCTCTCATTCTTCCACTGTGTGTTTGTGTTGGAGTGTCAGTGTAGTATGTGTAAGTGTGTGGGTAGAGTCCAGTGAGTGTGCATAGAGCCAATGCAAGAGAGTCGGTGCAACTAAACAATGTAAATAGTCCGGGTAGCCATTTGATTTACTGTTCAGCAGTCTTATGGCTTTGGGTTAGAAGCTGTTCAGGATCCTGTTGGTTCCAGACTTGGTGCATCGGTACTGCTTGCCGTGCGGTAGCAGAGAGAACAGTCTATGACTTGGGTGGCTGGAGTCTTTGACAAACTGTGTTTGAGTTGGGGGAAAACTCTGTTATTGAGAGATGGCATAAAGATTACAATTATTAATTGAAAGTAAATATTTGAAATATCAAGCATTTCAGTTTATAGTAATATGTGAGTGTATGGTGTTTGTGAACAGGTGGTGATGCTGGTTCTGGCCTGGAAGCTGGATGCCCAGAGCATGGGCTACTTCACCCTACAGGAGTGGTTGAATGGCATGGGCTCCCTGCAGTAAGTCTGCTCTAAATGTGTGTGTTTTTATTGTACATATGTTCTGTGCGTGTCTGTCCATACAGTTTATTTCCATTTCTAGCTGTGAAGTGTACAAAATGGTGCTGATAACAGACTGGGGTTATAGTCTGCCTCTGCCTGTATAGTCTACTGTCTGTTTTATAGTCTACACTGTAGTCTGTCTCTAACCTGTCTCTCTGGCGTTGTCAGGTGCGACTCCACAGAGAGGCTGAGGAACTCCCTGGACTACCTGAGGTCTGTCCTAAACGACACCACCAACTTTAAGCTCATTTACAGATACGCCTTCGACTTCGCTCGGGTGAGTGAGGCAAAACCTAATCTGCAGTATTATCACTAGATTTCCTCTGACTGGGATATTCATTCCCAATGGATATTTATTTGTTGATATTTAGATTCAACACACGACAGATTATACATTAAACTTTATTACCATTTTATATAAATAAACACGAAAAATACCAGTGATGTCAGGTATGAAAATATTGCTGTGCTGTCAGCTCTCAGCTTTGTGTTCACAAGTTCTGAGTGTCAAGATTATTTTCTTGTTTGTTTTGCATGGCTGAAGCGCTAATCAAGAGTACTGATGGGCTATTTACATAGTCTGGCTTGGATTGAAGTAATTGTAAGGCATGTTCCCCTGAAAGCAATTAATTGAGCTTTACAGTGAATGGAAATATAGAGCTTGAAGTGAGATCAATACCATTTAATAAACAAAGCACATGGGATTTGCATTTGTGTCCTCATGAATTCCAAAGGATCAATGACCATTACTAGTTGGCTTACTGTATTACTTAATCACTTACAGTTAAATATTTCAATTGAGTCATATTTGACCCATGACCTTGGCGACGTCTGTATATTTTTGATTGTACAGGAAAAGGACCAGAGGAGTTTAGATCTGAACACAGCCAAGTGCATGTTGGGGCTTCTCCTTGGAAAGACTTGGTCACTGTTTCCTGTGTTCAATCAGTTTTTAGAGGTATGGAGTCTAACCTGTGTAACATTCAACTTAATAAAGTGAGGGAACTGTGTGAGAATGTAGTGTTCTTTGTATTGACTGCCTGTCTATGTTCATTTATTTAGCAATCCAAGTATAAGGTCATCAACAAAGACCAGTGGTGCAACGTTTTAGAGTTCAGCAGGACAATCAACCTGGACCTCAGTAACTATGACGAGGATGGAGCCTGTGAGTATCCACACACACACTAATGCACAATGACACTAATACACAAATACACTCATTCTCATGGTGGTACAGGTGATCAGTTCCCTAATGTTATCATTCTTTTCTCTCATTTTGTCAGGGCCAGTTTTGTTGGATGAGTTTGTGGAATGGTACAAAGAAAGACAGATGTCATAGCATCAGGTACACTGCAACAAACGTCAACAAAACAACATAATACGACGATAACGACAACGGCTATGAGAAAACAAACTATACAAAATGGGAGAGGTGCGTGTCAGTGATGACAGGTGGTGCTTCCAAGTAATGATTGCAGTGTGGTTTTGGGCGAGGGGGTGTAAGGTCAAAACTGGGTGTAAGTTTCCCCGGGGAGATTGGGATGTAGATTACTTATGGTCACCATCTCCAGGTAATGTTCCCTACCCATGTTGCATTGTGGTTAAGCACATGGCAGCCCCTGTGGCGTTGCACCCCCTCACTGTGATGTCATATTGCTGTGTGATAGGATAACCTGTTCTCATGAGTGGCTGACGTGGGCTAAATGGTTTTGTGTGAAAGAAAGATCCACTCTTCAACCCTTCGCTCCTGCGAGGAGGAATAAAACAAACAAAATCCCTCCCTTTTGAACAGTCGGTCTTAGTCTTAAATCAAGGTCATTTTGACCTGGGCACATTTGAATATTGTATATCCGTGCTTTGAACTTGATCTGTGCTTGTCTCTTTATAACCTACAGAACCCATCGTTTCTATCAGTTGTGTCCTATATTTGGGTTGAATTGGAATTCTGAAAGAAGTACATTGTGTCAAATGGCTGAGTGTTACAGTAGTTGTTCTTTTAGCCATGGTCCTTAAAGCTGTTACAGGTGGATGATGACTCCTGCACAGTTTACTATGATGAAGTAATTTGTGCCAGTGATTTTGAGCCCCCAGTGGTTTTCATCCCCACGCTCACTATGAGCCTGTGCTAAAGCATTTTAGCCCCCTGCGAAGGCTTCAGTTCACCTCATACCACAACAACTAACCAATCAGCAGTGCTGCTTATTAACTCTTATTACAGTGCAGTGGTCAGTCGTTAGTGGACTGGCCAGCATTCATGGTTTACGTGACCAATCTATGTTTCTAAGCTGTAGGTTTGTACGAGTATTTTTTACTTATTTTTTAGAGGTTGCTTTACTTGCTCAACACGCACACACACACACACAGTGGTCAGGGATTAGATCAGGATGAAATGAGACTGTTGGGCTTATCATTCAAGAGGTCTCAAAATCATGGACATTGAAGGGTTAGATTTAGAACCCTGTGACGATGCTATGCGTAGGCTAATGTTCTTGTAACACATGTATAAACATTTGTCTCTGGCTGTGATGTGACGCTCAATTGTCATGAGTGAAACTTTGCATGCACGCTCTCCGTCAGAGCCATCTGTGAATGGATGAGATTATTGAAAACTTGTTTTGTTGTTTTTTGTTCAGGAATTTGTGCTTCATTTGATATCCTCCATGTTGTCTTAACGCTTTATGAAAACCATGATCGTGTATATTCAGAGCTGAAACACACATGTAACCTCATTTGGGGAAGAGGAGTTCCCTCCTGCATTTGCCAACCCCTCCCCCCATCACACACACAGTAAAAACGACAATTAAGAACCCCACTGTCAGTCTCAAATAAATGGACATGAACTGAAATTAACATGAGACTGCGTGTGGTAAAAGAATGGTATCAGATCTTTTGACATGTCAATCATTGATTGGTCAAACCCAGTGGCGTCTGATCCACAACTAAAGCATGTACAGTAAATTGATCAATTTATGAAGTAATGAGATCTCCACTTATCAGTGATCCATGATGCTTTTGCTGTCCTGTCAGTCATCAGTGTATTTGTGTATATTAGGTTTTCGGAGATGTGGCTGGACTGCGCACTAATAATTTGTACAAAGTCTAATTCAGATGGTGTTCTACATTGGTAATGCAGGAGGTTGAACAACCCTGTCCTGACTGTATATGTATGTACAGTATGTGTGTCTGTTTTCACTGTAACCTACAGTATCTCTACATATATATATATATATATATAAAGGGGTTTATTAACTTATTGTTGTCTTTCATTTTTGCTTTGCCATCTTCCTTTACAGAAAGATTCAAATGTTGTTTGTGATGAGATGTTCGTTCTGTGTTTTTAAATTGCACAGGATTATGTTTGATTCGTTACTGTAGGCCTAATGTATTTTTATTTGTACTATTGCATTACCACAGTAATTACCACGTGTCATGTGTGCACCTTATTATCCAGGGACCCATAGATTAACTGATATAAAAACATCACAAACACAATATGGGCTACTTTCTTTACAGGTTTATTTATGATGCATAGGCCTACACATAATGTGGAGGCAGTGTCATGAAGAGATTATTTTGTAGAAAAATAGAGGGGAGTAGGGTACCGAGTGAGTAAAGTAGGTGGATATGAATCTGGGAAATAGTGTTTTAATGGTCCCACCTTTTATTTGCCTCAGTCTGAAATCATTCAGTCACTTAAACAGCTATTTTCATTAAGACAAACATGTCTGGTTTTACACTCATTTACAACAATGTAATAACAGTATAATTCTGTAATTAAAATAAACAACTTACGTTTTAACTTTCATCTGCTGCATTAACTTCTCAGGTGATTTTTATTTTAATCAGTACAAACAATTACAGTTGTAGCGCTCAAGCTTCACTGCCCTCCTTGTGTGTCTCAAAATGGAGGGTGGAGTTAGAGTAGGTCATGTTGAGGTCACCAGAGGTAGAGACCTCACTACACCGGGTGGTCATAATGGTCTCTGAGGTAACGCTCTGATACGGACGAGATAATCCGAATGGTTTAGCAGCCACTAACCCCGTATAGCTCCTCTCTCCCTGTGTCATGGAGTTACAGCCAAATCCATCCATGGCTCTCATCTGTTGTCCCCTGCTCCTCCATCCATACCCTGCAGCCTCCTCTCCCTCTGGGGATGGTGGTGGTGGTGTTGCTGGGGCATCAGGTAGAGCTGGGGGGGGCTGGATGTCTACAACTAAGCGCTTCCTGTGTAGGGGAATTTGGAGTGAATACTCTCTTCTAGGCCTCGCCTCATCTGTGGGGGTGGAGAAAAAGTGTGATGTTTTGTACAATGACAGTTGGGGAGAGGGACTGATTTCTTCAGTAGGGTTACTGTAGTCTGCTCCGGCCCTCCTCCCCACCTCGTCTGTGCTGCTGTCTGAGGCATCAAAGTTGATATTGAGCGCTCTTATTTGGGAGGAAGAAACATTAATGTCTGTAGAACTGTCCTCTGTGTCCCTTCGTGTTCTCTCTGACAGCGCCTTCAGCCCACCAAGCCCTGGCTGATCCCACCTGTCCTCTGCTCCGGTCTTCCTCTCCACCTCATCTGTGGTACTGGCTGAGTTGTTAAAGCTGATATTGAGTGCTCTCCTTGGGGAAAAATAATCTGTAATGTCTTTAGCTGGTTTCATTGTGTGTTTTGGAGTCTCATCTCCAGTCTCACAGCTGGAAGAGGATGATTCGGCAGGTGGAGCTTCCTGAGGGGGCTGAATATTCTGACGCATCCTGAGTCCAGGGATGTAGATTTGAACTGGTGTCTCCTCAGCTCTCACCCTGTCTGAGGTGGTGGTGGAAAGGAGTGATGTTTTGGGCAAAGACATTTGGGGACGAAGCTTGGTGTCTTCATCAAAGTCTCCACCCTTTGTTCTGGTTACACTCTCGTACCTTGCCTCAGACTCATGTTGATACTGAGAACTCTTGTTAGAGAAGCTGATATTGAGATCTTTCCTTGGAGAGAAAGGTACTTTAATTTGTGTGTCTCCAGAATTGAGAGAGTAATCCCTATGTGTGACATCAGGGATCTTAGCTTTCTCCTCTTCTCTTTTTCGGTTCATTGTAGTCTCATCCTCGCTCCCGGTGCTAGAAGAGGATGAACCAGAGGGTGGGGGTGTTCTTGGGGTAGCAGGTGGAGCTTCCTGAGGGGGCTGGATATCCAGACGTCTCCCAAGTGGGGGGACATAGAAGAGTTGAGTTGGAGACTCCTCAGCCATCTTCCCGTCTGAAGAGGTGGAGAAAGGGAGTGATGTTTTTGGCAAAGACAGTTGGGGAAGGGGCTTGGTGTATTTCTTAAAGCCTTCATCTTTTGTGCTGATGGCAGTTTGGGAGGTGAGACCCAGGCCAGACCACCTTGACTCAGGCTCTGGATGTGGGTGATAAGAGCTGTCCTTGGCGAAGCCGATACTGAGAGCTCTCCTTTGGGCAAAAGAGACATCAATGCCTGCAAGACTGAAAGATGAATCTGGGACCTTCGCATTCTCCTCTTCTCTTTTTTGATTAATTGTAGTCTCATCCTTACTCTCACTGCTAGAAGAGGATGAACCAGCAGGTGAGTGTGAACCTGGGGCAGCAGGTGGAGCTTCCTGAATATCCAGACGCTTACTGAGTCTGGGGATATAGACTGGAACTGGGGGGTCTCCAACCCTTGCCCCATCTGAGGGAAATGATGGTTGGGGAAGGGACTCCTTTAAGCTGATGGCACTATGGGTGATTAGATCCAAGCCAGTCGACCTTGTCTCAGGCTCTGGTTGATATTTAAAACCTTCCTTGGAGAAGCCGATATTGAGAGCTTTCCTTGGCACCAAAGAGACAATATCTCCAAGACTGAGAGATGGATCCCTGTACGTGACATCTGGAACTTGAGCTTTATCCTCATCTTCCTCATCGCGCTCCTCGTTCACTGTGTACTTTGTGGGTTCATCCCCACAATCACTGGACCAATCAGAGTGCTCTGAAAACACAGGAGTGCTTTGAACTTCCTGTCTCAGTTCACCCACATTCTGGACAATCATCTTCTCCTTCACTACCTCCGTCTCTGGGTTCACAGTGAATGCTGTAGGTTCATTCCCACTGTAACTTGAGCTGCTGGAGCTGAACCTATCATTCTCCCTCTGGTCTTTCACCAGCGGTTCTTCATTCCGAGCTTGTTCATACTCCTTTCTCAATTCATCGTCAAAAGCAGAACTCGAGAGATCTTGACTGCTGGACCATGCCGATGCACCTCGGATGGAATCAGGGAACTCAAAGCTCTCTCCAGTGTCATTCCACAGCTCAGGCTCCATGGGGTTTTGATCTGCCTTGTTTGGTTTCCAATCAGTAAAGGGCTCAGCTGTAAATCCAGGGATCTCACCCACGCTGCCGATCTTGATATGTGGTACATCAACTTGTTTAACCATAGAGAAATCTGAACTCTGCTCAAAGGAGTCGTCTTCCTTCTGGGGTGATTGAGGCTCCCAGGGATTATTCTGGGTCTTGCGCTCCTCCAATCTCTGAGCCAAATTGTCTTTGGGCCAGTCCATATCCTGATCCCTATCCAGCCTCTCCTGGTCAGAGTGTGAAGACACGGACAAGCTTCGATATCCCTGCAACTGATCTGGGTCAGGGATGGGTTCAAACTCCATGCCATGGTGGGTATGGACTGGGTGAGCACCCACTTGTGGTTCACTCAGAGAGACATCAGAAAGGTCTCCACTATGGGTGTCTGTCTCTGGGCTGTCCTGCTGGGAGCTGCCTGAACTGACAGAGTCCCGTGCTCTGGGCTTCTCCTCCTCAGGCGGGTGATGGACCTCAAGGGAGGGGTGTGAGGTATCCCTCACCTGAACATTCTCATATGTTGCATCATATTCCCCAGCAAGGTTGTCCTGTCTGCCATTGACCACAGTATCATAGTATGGAATGTTATTCTGAACCCTTATTTCTGAAGGATGGCCGCTGAATGTCACTCTACTCTCCCTGTGTGTCCCTAGTTCCTCCCGAGCCTCCTCATCTGAATAGGCCTCATTGTCGTAGGGGCACTGCCCAGCAGAGGAGACCGACTGGGCTGGGGAGGAGCTCTGCTTGGTACGGTTACAGCACCTTCTCCAGAGAGGGTCCAGGAGAGGTCTGGCCAGAGCACCAAGTATAAATGCTAACAGGAAGGTGATAAATACAGACAGGCAGACAGCCAGGACCAGGTCAGACTGTGTTCTCTGAGTAGCCCTGTGGACATCTAGAGAGTTCAGGTCTGTCCCCTGACCCTCCCCCTGGAGGCTGCCTACCTCTGGGTTTATCAGCTTCCTCTCCCAGTGTAAACTCCTGGTGCCTCTGCTTTTCCTCTGTGTCTTACGGACATGGATGTTAAATACAGATATATACTCCTCTTCTGGCCCAGAGATGCACACGTACAGCCCTGCGTCTTCCTCTGTGATGTCACTGATCAGCAGGCCCATCTGACTTCCAGAAACTTGTCCATTAGTCGTCCACCATGTTGAATCTAGAACAAATACATCAACAGTGTATTACTGTTATAAAGCCAAGCATGATTACAGTTTTTTATCATTAAGGCTACTACTTTATTCACATCACATTTATACTATTGATCTGAAATGTAAGTTGTTACAAACAAATTCATATTGGTGTAATGCAACAAGTGAAAGGCAGCAGCTTCCTGTCTGGCTGTGTTACCTTGCTGTAGAGGGCAGCAGTGCAGCAGGATCTCTGTCCCCTCAGTCACTGTCACATCCTGGTGGAGCCCCTCCCTGTTCTCAGCTGTAGAGCAGGTGAGGTCACTGTCCTCCAGGTGTAGCAGGTCTCTACCTGCATGGGTGGAGGGGGAGGAACACACCACCCCCCTCCAGGTCTGCTGTTTGGCACTTTGCCTGTCGTAGGCCATCCACCTCCTCACGCTCCGCAGGCTGCAGTCACACCTCCACCTGTTACCACTCACCTCCACCAGGGCATTCAGGTTACGCAGCAACAGGTAGGCGGATGGGGGGATTGTGGTCAACAGGTTGAAGCTCAGATCCAAGACCTTGAAGGATGTCATTATGAACATTATAGGAATGTCAAAAATCTGTCATAGTACTGAGCTCAGGTGAGGTTTGGGTCAGGTGGTTACCGGATAACATGTTGTGTGTTGTGATGCAGTAGATACTATTAATGATGTGTAGTTACCCTGAGCTCCGGGAGGTCCCTGAGGGCAAGTGGGTGGAGGTTGGAGATGTGGTTGTGCTGCAGGTGGAGCTCTCTCAGATGGGGGCACCTGCTCAGATCTCCAGGTCGCAGGCCAGAGATCCTGTTGTGGGATAGCTGCAGCACCTGCAGGGTCTCACTGCCTCCCAGGCCTAGCGGACAGCACACCAACATAGTCCTCACATTAGAGTGGCATAATGACACATGACTAGGATGGCCCCTGTTTGTTCTCAATAATGCACAGAGGATGGTAATCATGAGGTGGTTGACTATATGATCACGGAAGTCCCCTTCTCACCTTTGTACTGTTCTGTTCTGTTTGTGGGCAATAAGCTGACATGACATTCCTCCCATAGCTTTTCGAGCAGCAGACCAACCTGAGATGTCCCTGCCTACCTGTCTGGATAGCCACAGCAACACCTGCTCCCTATACCTGACAGGACTGAACTACAGACACTGATAGCGTTTGTTTTCCCCCACTATAGTGTTTATTCTAGTGTACATACTGTAGTGTTTACTTCCCTGGGCCATTGTAGTGACATCTCAATGTACATTACTACGGTGTGGTGGTAACATAATGAAACAGAGCCATTATTACTATGAGAATACACAACAAGACTTCTTCAAGGCCTCTTTTTCGGTTTAAAACTGAGTTATTGACAATCACATGGTTTTGCACTTTGAACAGATTAGTTTTTAATTATATGCTGAACATTATGTCCTGGAGCATAAACAAATCACTAGGGTTGGGTAGCCTAGTGGTTAAGAACATTGAGCCAGTAACCGAAAGGTTGCTGGTTCGAATCCCGCGGCGACTAGGTGAAAAACCTGCCGATGTGCCCTTGAGCAAGGCACGTAACCCTAATTGCTCCTGTAAGTCGCTCTGGATAAGAGCGTCTGCAAAATGACTAAAATTGAAATGTTATGACTGATTCAACCCAATGATTTCTGTTGACAGCACTTAAGTTACACTGATTTTTGCGGTCTCCTCTTTTCACTAGGCTGAGACTGCTGAGCTGAAGTGAGGCATTGTGTGTCTGGGCTTCCTTAGAGGAGCGCTGGGAGACTGTGAGCAGAATATCAAGCAGCACGGAGAGGCCTCTGTCTCACAGAGCAACTGCCGACAGTCCTCTCAAACAAGGAGAAAACACTCACAATCACCAGTGAATACATATACAACTGAAAGGTTCAAATCCGCTGATGGAATTTTAACAAAGCAAGCTAAAATACTACTGTAAAATGATGATTGAGGCATTTTCCTCCTTTAAAACACAATCATTACACTTTTACACCCTCTTATGAACCATTGGAATGTCAGTAAACAGCCTTTACAATTGGCTGAAGATTGTACAATGATTTGTCAAATTCATTTTGTGATTGACTGGGCCGGTTTAATCATTTCCGAATAGAGCAAAGTCCTAATTATTAAGGATAATCATTCATAAGAGTATGGGTGTGCATGCATGTGCGTGTACAGTGCATTCAGAAAGTATTCAGACCCCTTGACTTTTTCCACATTTTGTTACGTTACAGCCTTATTTTAAAATGGATTAAATCGTTTTTACCCCCTGTTCAATCTACACACAATACCCCATAATGACAAATCCAAAACAGGTTTTTATACATAAGTATTCAGACCCTTTACTCAGTACTTTGTTGAAGCACCTTTGGCAGCGATTACAACCTTGAGTCTTCTTGGGTATGATGCTACAAGCTTGCCACACCTGTATTTGGGGAGTTTCTCCCATTCTTCTCTGCAGATCCTCTCAAGCTCTGTCAGGTTGGATGGGGAGTGTTGCTGCACAGCTATTTTCAGGTCTCTCCAGAGATGTTTGATCGGGTACAAGTCTGGGATCTGCCTGGGCCACTCAAGGACATTCAGAGACTTGTCCCAAAGCCCCTTCTGCAGCGTCTTGGCTGTGTGCTTAAGGTTTTTGTCCTGTTGGAAGTTGAACATTCGCCCCAGTCTGAGGTCCTGAGCGCTCTGGAGCAGGTTTTCATCAAGGATCTCTCTGTACTTTGCTCCGTTCATCTTTCCCTCGATCCTGACTAGTTTACTAGTCCCTGCCACTGAAAAACATCCCCACAGCATGATGCTGCCACAACCATGCTTCACCGTAGGGATGGTGTCAGGTTTCCTCCAGAAGTGACGCTTGGCATTCAGACCAAAGAGTTCAATCTTGGTTTCATCAGACCAGAGAATGTTGTTTCTCATGGTCTGAGAGTCCTTATGGTGCCTTTTGGCAAACTCCAAGCGTTGTGTGCCTTTTACTGAGGAGTGGCTTCCATCTGGCCACTCTACCATAAAGGCCTGATTGGTGAAGTGCTGCAGAGATGGTTGTCCTTCTGGAAGGTTCTCCCATCTCCACAGAGGAACTCTGGAGCTCAGTCAGAGTGACCATCGGGTTCTTGGTCACCTCCCTCACCAAGGCCCTTCTCCCCCGATTGCTCAGTTTGATCGGGCGGCCAGCTCTAGGAAGAGTCTTGGTGGTTCCAAACGTATTCCATTTAAGAATGATGGAGGCCACTGTGTTCTTGTGGACCTTCGATGCTGCAGAAATGTTTTGGTACCCTTCCCCAGATCTGTGCCTTGAAACAATCCTTTCTCGGAGCTCTACGGACAATTCCTTCGACCTCATGGCTTGGTTTTTGCTCTGACATGCACTGTCAACTGTGGGACCTTATATAGACAGGTGTGTGCCTTTCCAAATCATGTCTAATCAATTTAATTTACCACAGGTGGACTCCAATCAAGTTGTAGAAACATCTCAAGGATGATCAATGGAAACAGGATGCACCTGAGCTCAATTTCGAGTCTCATAGCAAAGGGTCTGAATACTTATATAAATAAGGTATTTCTGTTTTTTATTTTTAATACATGTGCAAAAATGTCAAACAACCTGTTTTCGCTTTGTCATTATGGGGTATTGTGTGTAGATTGATGAGGATTTTTATTTATTTAATCCATTTTAGAATAAGGCTGTAACGTAACAAAATGTGGAAAAAGTCACTGGGTCTGAATACTTTCCGATTGCACTATATGTACAGGTAACTACCAAAATAAAGGAAACACCAACATAAAGTCTTAATAGGGCGTTGGGCCACTACGAGCCAAAACAGCTTCAATGCGCCTTGGCATAGATTCTACAAGTGTCTGGAACTCTATTGGAGGGATGCGACACCATTCTTCCACAAGAAATTCCATAATTTGGTGTTTTGTTAATGGTGGTGGAAAACGCTTTCTCAGGTGTGTTCAATTGGGTTGAGATCTGGTGACTGAGCAGACACAGAGATCTTCTAGCCATGCATGGTAGGCAAAATAATGGGTAACTGGGCATTTTTATACATCACCCTAAGCATGATGGGATGTTAATTGCTTAATTAACTCAGGAACAACGCTTGTGCGGAAGCACCTGCTTTCAATATACTTTGTATCTCAAGTGTTTCCTTTATTTTGGCAGTTACCTGTATGTGTGGTAGGCAAAGCAACCTGTGATTAGTGTAACTACATTTATAGTACAGCGAAGCAATTCCTCATGTGTTGGAGTGTGTGTGTGACTCACCCTCAGGGATCATCTCTAGCTGATTCCTCTCAGCAGACAGCAGCTGCAGGGCCGGGGCCCAGGACACACATCTCCCTCTGTTGTGTGAGAGGGAGATTATCCCATGTTTACCCCTCCAGGTCCTCCCCACACACAGAGACAGGTGAGTGATGCTGTTGTGTCCAAGCCGTAGATTCTTAAGCCCCCAAATTGGCCACGAGGGGGTAAGGGAGTTCAGCAGGTTGTGAGATAGGTCTAGATCAGTTACGGTGAATAGGATGTGTTGTGGGGCCTGGGAAAGGCCAGCGGAGGAACAGTTTAACAGAGGACCTCTCTGACAAAGGCAGGGCTCAGGACAGGTAGGGGGAGTCGGAGAACACTGGAGCCCCTGGATGAGGAGGAGCAGCACTGCAGCACAGAACATCCACTGAGACACTGCCATCACAAACAGCCCTGTGCTCATAGGCAGAACAAAAAGAGATAATAATGAATGTTAGTGAGTTGTGAGTTTCAACATAAAAGACAATGTATGAGCACATACAGTATTGAAGGTGAATTCAATAGATATGCCCTGATATACCAACAGTAACACATACAACAGCACCCAAATAAAGTCAGAACACATGCATTACTCTCAAATTTAGAAACATGCACTGCAATATTAGCACACGTCATACACACAAATATAAATTAATGCGTGAAAAAAACTCAAACTCACCCCTCCGTGTCTGCATTGTATACAACCGAAACAAACTTGTGACTTTTAGTCTCTCCCCGGGCCCTTCCAGTGCATTGGCAAAAGTGGCAGATTTTTTTACTTTGTCTCCTGTAGTTTCAGATCAAAGTCTTCAGTGTGTATTGCCATGTTGAGTCAGACATGCATACACAAAAATTACATAAACGTTATGCAGATTCCCTCAATCATTCACATGGCGTGGTTAATGTCTCACCAGAATATTGTTTTCCTCTCCTTCATAGTTAACTGTGCTGCCAGAAATATGATGACAAGGACAACTACGCCCAGCTTGGATTTATTATTGATTGATAAATCACTGGATCGGAACAGATTTCATGCTATAAAAAGTAATCTTGGTTATTTTGCCCTCTTACAGTGTAAAATGTAGTAGACGTAGAATATAGCTAGTACACTCTAAATGCATTGACACCTCCAAGTGGGCATTGTGGGATAGGGTACAAATAGGGCAGTTTTCAAACGTGAAAATAAAACTGCAAATTGACGAAAGACCAGAAGCAATACAGATCACAGCGCTTTTCAAACACAGCATATCCCTTTATTTAAACAAACATGAGTTAAATAATTGATATTTTCCAAAAGCTCATTCTCAAGGTTCCATTGGAAAACAATGAATTCCTACATCTATTAAAGCATAGAGTCCATATTGCTGCTTGAGACGATGATCACATTTCTCCAAGCACATTGTTACTGTAGAAACAATTTAATACACACTTTAAGCATGTTAGACAACTGCCAATGAGCTCAAAATAGATAAACATCACACTTGTAGTATTGCCACTTCATGTTATATTGCACAAAACATCACTCAATAGTATTTGTTTCAAACCCATGTTATCAAAATATATCATTGAAACAAACACAAAAGCTTAATGAATACCACAATAAAAAAATTAAAAAACAGCTGACTGCATTAATTTATAGTGCGTCTTGGTGCAAATACACTACATGACCAAACGTATGTAGACACCTGCTCGTCGAACATCTCATCCCAAAATCATGGGCAGTAATATGGAGTTGGTCTCCCCTTTGCTGCTATAACACTCCACTCTTCTGGGAAGGCTTTCCACTAGATGTTGGAACATTGCTGCGGGGACTTGCTTCCATTCAGCCACAAGAGCATTAGTGAGGTCGGGCCAACCATCACTGTTGGGTGATTAGGCCTGGCTCACAGTCGGCGTTCCAATTCATCCCAAAGGTGTTCGATGGGGTTGAGGTCAGGGCTCTGTGCAGGCCAGTCAAGTTCTTCCACACCGATCTCGACAAACAAGATTTCTGTATGGACCTCGCTTTGTGCACGGGGGCATTGTAATGCTGAAACAGGAAAGGGCCTTCCCCAAACTGTTGCCACAAAGTTGGAAGCACAGAATCGTCTAGTATGTCATTGTATGCTGTAGCGTTAAGATTTCCCTTCACTGGAACTAAGGGGCATAGCCCGAACCATGATAAACAGCCCCAGACCATTATTCCTCCACCAAACTTTACATTTGGCACTATGCATTCGGGCAGGTTGCGTTCTCCTGGCATCCGCCAAACTCAGATTTGTCCGTCGGACTGCCAGATGGTGAAGTGTGATTCATCACTCCAGAGAACGCATTTCCACTGCTCCAGAGTCCAATGGCGGTGAGCTTTACACCACTCCAGCCGACGCTTGGCATTGTGCATGGTGATCTTAGGCTTGTGTGCGGCTGCTCGGCCATGGAAACCCATTTCATGAAGCTCCCGACTAACAGTTATTGTGCTGACGTTGCTTCCATAGGCAGTTTGGAACTCGATAGTGAGTGTTGCAATCGAGGACAGATTATTTTTAAGTGCTTCAGCACTCAGCGGACCCGTTCTGTGAGCTTGTGTGGCCTACCACTTCGTGGCTGAGCCGTTGTTGCTCCTTGACGTTTCCACTTCACAATAACAGCACTTACAGTTGACCGGGGCAGCTCTAGTAGGGCCGAAATTTGACGAACTGACTTGTTGGAAAGGTGGCATCCTATGACGGTGCCACGTTGAAAGTCACTGAGCTCTTCAGTAAGGCCATTCTACTGCCAATGTTTGTCTATGGAGATTGCATGGCTGTGTGCTCGATTTTATACACCTGTCAGCAACGGGTGCGGCTGAATTGCTAAATCCACTAATTTGAAGGGTTATCCACATACTTTTGTGTATATATAGTGTATATTCCTTTTTCTGAGCATTCGGCAATATGATATTATAGACACATGGAAATAAATTCCATTTGGCATCATAACTAAAGACACTCCAATCTCTTCCTTTGTGAAGACACAGAGACAATGTTTGACACGTACAGGATGAGAAGGCAGATGTAAATTTAGATAGCAATGTGGAGAGTGCTGAGAGAGTCATCTCATGAAAATCTACACTAGACCTTTAAACAAGCACAGATTATCTCCTGCAATCAGTAATACTGAATGGCTAAAATGAAGTTTCCTATTTCACACATATCCCACTAACTCCAACTCATAACTCCTTAACTAACCATAATCAATAAATAATTATAGTGGCCCACACTAAGTGATCAGTGGCTGATGCCTATTACAGGGTGACTTGTATTTGAGTCACACACAGCTGCCAGCGGAAATATAAATGTCAAATAATTATTAATAGAAATATCCAGAATACTGGTAATACTGGATGGCTTGGTAGAGTGCTGCTTCTGTTGTTACTTCATATATAGTCAGAAGAAAAAGAAATGATAATACACTTATTTAGATATCTTTGGCCAAGCAGATATGCAGGAACACAAAATGGCCACCATAAAAAATAGAGTGTTTCTGGGTGTGCTACATTTTGAATGCGTATGGAGTATGCACTGTACACCATTCTATGGTATTTCAACACTGGTTGGCCAGACCATCTGTTGATTGTAGGAGAGGATGGATGGTGTAACATCAGTTTGTGTTCCAGTCTCTTTAGTGGGCCTTTCCACATGGGTTGTCTGAGGTCTGGCAGCCCATGTTCTGATACTTCACCTGGACACGGAACAGAGTGCCGTCTGCACACATACACAGCTTGTACCTCAACAGACCCTCGTCGAAATACACATTGGCTCCCACTGAGGAGTTAGGCATGCGAGTGACGCTCACCATCACAGATCCGTTCAAAACAATACTGTTCTCCTGCAAAGGGAAATACCCTGTTAACCATATTTGTTAATGGAATGCAGTACACTATAGACTTTAAAAATAGTATACATGTATTACAAATTTGGTAAGGGGTAACACTCACAGCTCTGAGCTCGATGTCCCCTCCCATCCTGAACTCCACTGTCTTGCCCATGATGAAGACACCCTCGTTGCCGCGGATGATGGCCTTGCTGTCCCCTTTAATGGACAGGTCAGAGGAAGCATTGCTGGTGATCTGAAAGATAGAGTCTTCAGAGATCTACCACTTTTTCTGGGATTTTTCTACATTTTCATCAATGACAGGAATGGATTCTAGAATGTATTTGATCTACAGCAACACACTTTGTGGTGCTGCAATGGCAATCCTACGGTTTTATTACATGTTTTATTTGATGGCTTCTGAAGCCCTGGAACATACCCTTTCTGTGGAGGCCTTCTTCACATTGAGTACTTTGACTCCTTTGGGCAGGTGGAACTCGTGGTTTTCAAAGTCTGTGCTGAAGAAGGTGTTCTGAGTGCGGGGGTCAGTGAAGGATACGCCCATGTCACTGATGATGGACGTCTTCTCTTTCTCAACACTGAGCTTAGTGGAGCCCTGCTGGAACACCACCTGGAAGAGCATACAGTTACAGGCCATCTCAGCCCTTTCCTTGCAGTCAAATTGTCACGTTTGTTCATAGACGGGTCAGACCAAGGCGCAGCGTGATATGCATACATGTTTATTTGAACCGAATAAACAACAAGTCCAAGGTACACAAACAACATACCTCACACGGAACAAGATCCCACAACTCAATAGTGCCCATAGGCTGCCTAAGTATGGTCCCCAATCAGAGACAACGAGCGACAGCTGCCTCTGATTAGGAACCACACCGGCCAACATAGAAATGCACATACTAGAATATAAACATAGAACTACACAACATAGAATATACACACCCTGACTCAACATATAAGCGTCCCCTAAGTCAGGGCGTGACAGTACCCCCCCCCCCCCCAAAGGTGCGGACTCCGACCGCACAACATAAACATAACAGGGTAGGGGCCGGGTGGGCATTCCGCCTCGGAGGCGGATCCGGCTCAGGGCGTGACGACCTCTCACTCTTCGCCTCCCTGTTGCGCCCCTGGTCTGGTCTGGACCTCGGCGCGCTGCTTCCCCTCTCCTTCCTCCCACTATACTCCAAGCCCTGTCTGGACCCTGGTGTGGGAGACCCCGAACCTGGAGAGGGGCTGACGTCTGGGTCTGGACTGGACCCCGGTGGAGCGGACTGCTCTGGCTCCGGAGTGGAGCGGACTGCTCTGGCTCCGGAGTGGAGCAGCTGAGCAGGCACCGGTGGAACAGGCACGGGCCGTGCCGGACTGGACACACGCACCACTGGCTTGGTGCGAGGAGCAGGAACAGGCTGGGCCGGCGACGCACACCACTGGCTTGGTGCAAGGGGCAGGAACGGGCCGTACCGGACTGGCGACGCGCACCACTGGCCTGGTGCGGGGAGCAGGAACAGGCCGGGCTGGGCTGGCGACGCGCACCACTGGCTTGGTGCGAGGGGCAGGAACAGGCCGGGCCGGGCTGGCGACGCGCACCACTGGCTTGGTGCGAGGAGTGGGGACAGGCCAGGCCGGACTGGCGACGCGCACCACTGGCTTGGTGCGAGGAGCAGGAACAGGCCGGGCCGGGCTGGGAACACGCACCACTGGTTTGGTGCGAGGAGCAGGAACAGGCCGGACCGGGCTGGGAACACGCACCACTGGTTTGGTGCGAGGAGCAGGAACAGGCCGGGCCGGGCTGGCGACGCGCACCACTGGCTTGGTGCGAGGGACAGGAACAAGCCGGACCGGGCTGGCGACGCGCACCACTGGCTTGGTGCGAGGAGCAGGAACGGGTCGGGCCGTACTGGGAACACGCACCACTGGCTTAGTGCGGTGAGCAAGAACGGGCTGGACCGGACTGGCGACCCGCACCACTGGCTTGGTGCGAGGAGCAGGAACAGGTCGGGCCATACTGGGAACACGCACAACTGGCTTAGTGCGGGGAGCAGGAACGGGCCGGACCGGACTGGCGACACGCACCACTTGCTTAACCAGCTCCTCTCGCCGTGCCACTACACTTTCCTTCTCCCTTTTAGCCTCCTGTAGCGCCTCCCTCTGACCGAATAACTCCTGCTCCCTCTGAACCAATAGCCCCCGTAACATGGTGGCCTCCTCTCCTAACCTGCAGATTCGCCCTTCCACGGCCTCCTGCTGCCTCGTCATCCACCCCGTGTGCCCCCCCAAATTGTTTTCTTGGGGTTGCCTCTCGGGTCTCCGTCGTCGGCACTCCTCTTCCCGTGAGGACTCCTCCGGGAGCCCCCACGAGTTAGGGAACAGAAACTCGTCGTCGTCGTCATCCTCCGACTTCTCAGTATAATACTGTTCCCACTCCTCTTCCCATGGTCGTAGGGACCCAATCTGAAAACCAACCGGGTGCAGTGGTCGGGGCTCTTCTCTCTCGCTCCCCGACCACCCCTTTAGCCCCCCCAATTTTTTTTATTGTGGCTGCTTCTCGGGCCTCCTCCTCGGCCGGCTTCCGTGTTGCCGTTGCTCCTCTCCTGCCTGGGCTTCGCCCAGGGTCCTTTTCCCGAAAATATCTCCTCCCATGACCACCAATTGCCCACCTGTGACATGGCTACTCTCTCCGCCTGGGCACGCTGCTTGGTTCTCGTTTGGTGGGATCTTCTGTCACGTTCGTTCATAGACGGGTCAGACCAAGGCGCAGCGTGATATGCATACATGTTTATTTGAAACAAATAAACAACGACAAAACAACAAACTAAACGAAACGTGAAGTCCAAGGTACACAAACAACATACCTCACACGGAACAAGATCCCACAACTCAATAGTGCCCATAGGCTGCCTAAGTATGGTCCCCAATCAGAGACAACGAGCGACAGCTGCCTCTGATTGGGAACCACACCGGCCAACATAGAAATACACATACTAGAATATAAACATAGAACTACACAACATAGAATATACACACCCTGACTCAACATATAAGCGTCCCCTAAGTCAGGGCGTGACACAAATGACCTAGTGGCCTCATGGGTGGAACGTTATTAATACTTTTCATAATTTCATAATTAAAACATTATTTTTTTAAACCCAGCTGAAAATCCGGTGTTTCTATGTCAAATGATTTTGTTATATTTCAGTCTTCTGTGATGTATATAAAGTGTAAAGTGTCTTGTTTTTTTTAAGCCCATAACCATGTGTGTGAGGTGTATAATTTTGTTTCAAAGTAGATTTGTTTAAGACTACCAAGAAACACTCTGTGTGACCCTGATTTAGCCAACTCAGTAAAAGGTTAATATATTTATATTTGGGTATTGGGGATGTGTGTATGTATAGACTGGTTAAACAATGCATTTGTGTGTTCTGAATCTATTCTGTGTTTGTGCCTGTGTGTTGTGTGTGTTGCCTAGGTGAATGTGTTTTGCCTAAGCTCACCGGGTTGTTGTTGCCGGTGATAACCAGGTCCTGGTCCTTCCTGCCTCCCACAGTGCTCTTGTGCAGTGGGTGGACCACGCCCATGTCTGCCTTCTGCTTGAAACGCAGCAGCCCACTCTCATGGAACTCCATACTGTCACAACCACTGGGCCCGATTCGTATCACCGTCCAGATCACTAGAGTGATCTAAGAGTTGGGAAAATTGTCAGATATTTGGATATATTGATTTGATTATTGTCATAATCATAACTAGTTATAACATAACCATTACTAACATTATCATGATGCCATGTGTAATGGGTTGAAAACAAAGTCACAAAAAACAGACACCCCTTTATTGTTATTATTATTTTTAACCAATTTGTTTTTTTGTCTTAATTAATCTAAATGGTATGCTCTACATGCTTGAGCATTAGTAGTCCATCATGCCAATAGATGGCGATGTTGCACTGTGGTAGTAGGGGAAACAGCAAGTTCTGGCCAAGCGCACCATTCTTCAGAATAAAGAAAGCCCCAGAACTTTGCAGATGTAAGCTTGTGTCCGTTCTCTTCACTATTACAGGTATGTAACAGAACTTCAAACCTTTCTAATATCGAAAGAATATGTAATAACATGCTATTAAACAACTTTGTCAAGGTGTTATCACGTTAGGAAAGGGTTGGCTCTGTTGCGCCTTCTTCACCACACTGTCTGCGTGGGTGGACCATTTCAGTTTGTCGGTGATGTGTACGCCAAGGAATTTCTCCACTGCGGTCCAGTCGATGTGGATAGGGGGGTGCACCCTCTGCTGTTTCCCGAAGTACACGATCATCTTCTTTGAGTGAGGTGATGAATGTAAAAGAAAAAGCTGTTGAAACCATGGTCTCTGCCATTAAAGTGATGACCCATGATGAAATTTCAATTAACTGTTTGGTAAAAGTGGGAAAGAAAGGACTTTCCGTTCCTACAGGTCAAATAGCTGAGGTGAAACGTAGAATCAGAGCCTGGCCAGAGGGAGGAACAATGATGTTCGAGCCAGCCATGGACAGCCATTGCCCAGAAGGTTTGGAGCTGTTTCCATGCCTTGTGGATGTGCCCTGTGGAGCCTCGAAGGTGGTAAAGATTCCAATTCAGAACTCCACACAACATGACATTCATCTCTCTCAGAGAACAGTGCTGGGTTGGGTAGAGCTGATGGATGACATCAGACCTGTCATCACAGCACCTGACTGTCAGAAGAAGCATGTGAGTCAGTCTAGTGATGCTTTCTTATGCTCCACTCAGATTCACAATGGTGAGCAGAGAAAAGAGAGTCACACACTAGTTGGGTTCAGAGAAAAATGGCACCCACCTGTTGACTTAGAACATCTACAGGAAGAGGAACAGGAAATAGTCATAATAATCTGATGTGTTCGCACAGGAAGATGGAGATATCGGCTGCATTCCAAACCTTAAGCTGAAACTCAACTTGAAGGATCACACTCTTGTCCAGAAAAGTTACAACTCCATTCCGAAACCTCTATACAAAGAGGTGAAAGAATATGTCCAAAACCTACTGGAGAGGCTGGATCAAGAAATCCACATCTCCATATTCATCCCCGGTGGTCTGCGTGCGCAAGAAGGACAGCAGCCTGCAGTTATGTGTCGACTTAAGGGAGATGAATCGCAAGACCATCCCTGACCATCATCCGTTGCCACGGATACAAGACCTGCTGGATAACGTAGGGGGATACACATGGTTCTCGATACTCGACCAAGGCAGCGCTTACCATCAAGGCTCCGTGGATGAAAGCTCAAGACAAGCCAACGCGTTCAGCATCCCCTGGGGGCTATATGAGTGGGTCCGCATCCCCTTTGGTTTGACCAACGCCACATCCGCTTTCCAGAGGTGTATGGAAGGAGTTCTAGAGGGCATGAGAGACGACTGTTGTTCTCCATATCTGGATGATATTCTCTGCTATTCCAAGATGTTCAGTCAACATGTGGAAGACCTGAGAAGAGTGCTTAGGCAGATGAGGAGCACGGTATCAAACTACGGCCGAAAAAGTGTGAAGTCTTCAGACGCCAAGTGAGGTACAGTTGAAGTCGGAAGTTTACATACACTTAGGATGGAGTCATTAAAACTCGTTTTTCAACCACTCCACAAATGTCTTGTTAACAAACTATAGTTTTGGCAAGTCGGTTAGGACATCTACTTTGTGCATGACACAAGCTATTTTTCCAACAATTGTTTACAGACAGATTATTTCACTTTTAATTCACTGTATCAAAATTCCAGTGGGTCAGAAGTTTACATACACTAAGTTGACTGTGCCTTTAAACAGCTTGGAAAATTCCAGAAAATGATGTCATGGCTTTAGAAGCTTCTGATAGGCTAATTGACATCATTTGAGTCAATTGGAGGTGTACCTGTGGATGTATTTCAAGGCCTACCTTCAAACTCAGTGCCTCTTTGCTTGACATCATGGGAAAATAAAAAATTAAATCAGCCAGGACCTCAGAAAAAAAATTGTAGACCTCCAAAAGTCTGGTTCATCCTTGGGAGCAATTTCCAAATGCCTGAAGGTACCACGTTCATCTCTACAAACAATAGTACGCAAGTAATAACACCATGGGACCACGCAGCCGTCATACCGCTCAGGAAGGAGATGCGTTCTGTCTCCTAGAGATGAACGTACTTTGGTGCGAAAAGTGCAAATCAATCCCAGAACAGCAAAGGACCTTGTGAAGATGCTGGAGGAAACAGGTACAAAAGTATCTATATCCACAGTAAAATTAGTCCTATATCGACATAACCTGAAAGGCCGCTCAGCAAGGAAGAAGCCACTGCTCCAAAACCGCCATAAAAAAGCCATACTACCTTTTGGAGAAATGTCCTCTGGTCTGATGAAACAAAAATATAACTGTTTGGCCATAATGACCATAGTTATGTTTGGAGGAAAAAGGGGGTTGCTTGCAAGCCGAAGAACATCATCCCAACCGTGAAGCACGGAGGTGGCAGCATCATGCTGTGGGGGTGCTTTGCTGCAGGAGGGACTGATGCACTTCACAAAACAGATGGCATCATGAGGAAGGAAAATTATGTGGATATATTGAAGCAACATCTCAAGACATCAGTCAGGAAGTTAAAGCTTGGTCGCAAATGGGTCTTGCAAATGGACAATGACCCCAAGCATACTTCCAAAGTTGTGGAAAAATGGCTTAAGGACAACAAAGTCACGGTATTGGAGTGGCCATCACAAAGCCCTGACCTCAATCCTATAGAAAATGTGTGGGCAGAACTGAAAAAGCATGTGCGAGCAAGGAGGCCTACAAACCTGACTGTTACACCATCTCTGTCAGGAGGAATGGGCCAAAATTCACCCAATTTATTGTGGGAAGCTTGTGGAAGGCTACCCGAAACGTTTCACCCAAGTTAAACAATTGAAAGGCAATGCTACCAAATACTAATTGAGTGTATGTAAACTTCTGACCCACTGGGAATGTGATGAAATAAATAAAAGCTTAAATAAATCATTATCTCTACTATTATTCTGACATTTCACATTCTTAAAATAAAGTGGTGATCCTAACTGACCTAAAACAGGGAATTTTTACTAGGATTAAATGTCAGGAATTGTGAAAAACTGAGTTTAAATGTATTTGGCTAAGGTAAACTTCCGACTTCAACTGTACATAGGTCGGATCGTATCCAGCGATGGAGTACAAATCGACCCAAAAGACTTGGAGGCTGTGTTGTGGCTAAAGGAGAGGGAGCCACAGAGAGTTGGAGAGGTCAGAACACTGCTGGGATTCTTCGGCTACTACAGGTCGTTCAACCAAGATTTCTCCAGGATGGCCAAACCCCTATTTGAGCTGCTACAAAGTCCATCAGAAGAAAAGGGGAAAACTGCCAAGCCCAAATCAACCAGAGGAAAAACCCAGGCCAAAAAGGTTAGCAATGGACAACGGCATCCCAAGACACCAGTCCAGTGGACGGCTGTACACAGAGCCATCATAGCCAAGTTGGTGGACATGCTAACCAATCCACCCTTACTAGCATACCCAGACTGTGACTTACAATTTGTGTTACACACTGACGTTTCCAAGGAGGGTCTAGGGGCTGTCCTTTACCAACATCAAAACGGGAGACTACGTGTAATCGGGTATGGTCCAGAACACTAACTCCAGCAGAGAAAAACGACCACCTCCACTCTGGCAAACTTGAGTTTTTAGCACTTAAATGGGCGATCTGTGACAAATTTAGAGACTATCTATACTATGCACCCATCTTCACCGTATACACAGACAACAACCCTTTGACCTATGTTCTGAGCACATCTAGACTCAACGCAGTAGGTCACCGCTGGGTCGGGGAGTTGGCCGACTTCCACTTCGACCTGAAATACAGGCCTGGGAAAATGAATGCAGACGCTGACACACTATCTCGTTGTCCTGTCGTTCTCCACAACCACATGGGTGAATACACAGAATCTATGCCACCAGAAGTCATCTCAACGGTATGGCAAGGAAGCAGAGCAGTGAAAAATGAGGATGTCCCATGGGTGGCTGCGCTGCAAGTCAACTCTGGAGAGGGTGGTGTGTCACCTGAAGGCGTGCCTGCCATCACACCAGAGGATATTAAGGCTGCACATTCGAGGATGCTGCAATCAGAGAAATCATCTCACTGAAAAACAAAAGATGGAATCCAAATGAGAAAGAGAGAAAGCTCATGGGACCAGAAATAAGGAGACTAGTCCATGAGTGGAACAAGTTGGTCATGGAAAATGTAATCCTGTACAGACAGGCTGGACAACGAAAGCAACTGGTACTACCCAGCAAGCTGAAATCAGTGGTGCTGAAGAACTTACATGACGACATGGGCCACGTCGGAGCAAACAAAGTGATCCATCTAGTCAGGGAAAGATTTTACTGGCCATTCATGCAGCATGAAGTAGAAGACTGTGATCAGACAGTGTGCATGTATCAAGAAACATCCCTGTGTTCCAGAGAAAGCACCTATGGGTTCTCTCGCCACCAGTGCACCCTTTGAGCTTCTCTCCGTCGACTACATGCACAATGAGCCAAGCAAAGGAGGCTATGAATATATTATTGTACTGGTCGATCATTTCACACGCTTTGCACAGGCCTACCCAACGAAGAACAAGTCAGGAAAAACTGCAGCTGAGAAGATATTCCAAGACCTCGGTTTGCCTATCCTAGTAAGCTTCACCACGATCAAGTGCGAGAGTTCGAGAACAACCTGTTCCAGAGACTCCAACAGCTTGCAGGGATCTCACACTCTCTAACTACCCCATACCATCCACAAGGGAACCCTGTGGAAAGGATGAATAGAACACTCCTGTAGATGTTCCGTACTCTGCAAGAAGAGAAGACGACAGAGTGGAAAGACCATCTACCAAACATCGTCCATTCCTATAACTGTACAAGGCACAAGGCAATGGGATACTCACAATTTTTCCTGCTGTATGGCAGAGCCCCTTCCTATCGATCTACTGTTCAACCTCAAACCAGAAACAGTGACAAGAACCCAACAAACATTCGCAGAGAAGTGGGCAACAAAGATGCAAGACGCATACAAAATAGCTTCTGAGAACAGTCAAAAGTCCTCAGTGAAAGGGAAGAAGTACTACGACAAAGGTGTCAAAGGTGCAACTCTACAGCCAGGTGATTGAGTCCTTGTGAGGAACCTATCGGAAAGAGGTGGCCCCGGGAAACTCTGTGCTTACTGGGAGAAGACAGTACACAGAGTTGTGGAGAGAATTAGAGAGGGTCCAGTGAATAAGATCCAGTCAGAATCTGGAGACAAAGCTCTTCGTGTGCTGCACCGTAACCTCCTGTTACCTGTAAATGACTTGCCAGTGCATCAAGACACTCCAACCAAACCTGTGAAAAGAACAACACCAAGACAAAAACAGACAACAAACAGTAACATGATTGACCAAGAATCTGACAGTTCAGATGAAGAGGAAAGCTACTATACTTACCAGCACAGTCCTCAGGTCCATCAGAGTGATGTCAGACCACAACAAGTCAACCAGAGTGGCTTACCAGACTGCAAGCTACTGCTCAGAAGTTCAGACCTACAGTGGCACAGGAAATAGAACAGATCCAGAAACAGTCTGAAGGACTTGAACAGCATGGAGTGGAGGATGAAGTGCAGGAGAAACTCCAAGATGTTGTGCTAGTACAGCGGCAAGAGGTCAATGGAAAGGAAGACTTACCTGTGAGAAGGTCGCACACTGGAAGGCCCAGAGAAATGTTTAGCTATGAGAGTCTGGGACAACCGTCATACCAGTCATGGAGACAAGCAGCAAACGCAGTTGTTCTCAATTCTTACATGGTGCCTGGAAACATGATGTACTTGTACTGGATTTATGTTAGCTTGATGCTAGCTGAGGTAGAAACTATTACAAGTCACAGAGACTGTTTACTGAGTAGCTTACTTGTACTGGATTTTGTCTAGGAGATTTTATAAAGAATCCATTTGTTAGGGATTTCTTAGTTTGTTTTACATGTTATTGGTTTTGTGTAAAATTGTGCTCACGAGCTGGTAAACCCGCCGTGCACGCAGTGCGGGTGCATGAGAGAGAGACGATTTTACGGAGGTGCTACTATCTTAAAGCTGAATGTATTGTTGTCAGTTTTCTATATTGGTAGAGGTTTATAGAAAAACAGTCAGTTATTTTTGGCTTCATATATAAGTGTTTCTATTGTATGAATGTGAAGTACATTTTGGTTTTCATGTGAAATTATAGAGTAAGACAAAGTAATTTGTGGAACATTTTTGAATTCTGCTTCAGGTAAAGTGCATTTATGTTGTGTAATTTAAAGTGTGCACTTGTTTGATGTGAATGTTTTTAAAAGTACGAACAAGAAAATAGACAATTGAACAAGAGAAAAAAAAAACATTCTTCAGAATAAAGAAAGTGCCAGAACTTTGCAGATGTAAACTTGTGTCCGTTCTCTTTTACTATTACAGGCCATCTCAGCTAGACTGAGGCTGTCCGGATCACTAGAGTAATCTAAGAGTTGGAAAAATTGTCAGATATTTGGATATATTGATTTGATTATTGTCATAATCATAACTAGATATAACATAACCATTACTAACATTATCATGATGCTATGCATGCTACTAGCCTGAGTTAAAAGTGAATTCAGATACACAAGGATGATTACATAATGCAGACGAGCTTTGTGTGTAATTGGGCACTCACAATGAGGTTGATGAGTGCCAGCAGAAAGAGCAAGATGATGATGCAGACAGCCATGTTGCCCTTGCGTCCTCTCAGGCCTGTCTTGTGCAGGCGCTCCTCCTCTATGGGCACATAGCCTGCCTTGAAGTTGCTGTTGTGCTCCTTGTTGGTGGTCCGCCGTTCGATGGCCTTCTCCCTCATAGACCTCTTTACAGGCCCGTTGGAACTCTCCTTCAACAAACACAACAGTAAACATCAGTATAAAGGCTCAGGGGAAAAGTCAGGACAGGTGCTTAATTTAACCAACTGATATGACATCTGATATGTGTGCTGCTGTGACAACTAAACACCACTTTTTGGGTGGTCCCCATCAATCAAAGCATGGACTTCACTGCTTCACTTCTCTATGTGAGACTAAACATTAAGAGAGTTCTAGCTATTACACTGTAACTAACTACCAGATGTTATTGTATTTCACTCTGCAGTCTAGTTCATCTAGTTGACACATTGTAACAACCCAATTGACTGTCTATTTAACTACCACATGTAGTAACAATGTAACAAATATATATCTCAGTACAGAGAAACAGAACCATATATTGTAACATTGAAACTACCACGTTGTTTTTAATTAGCTTTTACGCAGGCGTCGCTGGATAGACAGACTGCTTCTAAAGAATGCGCGCAATTAAACACCCGAGTCTCTCTGTCTGTGTGCAATGACTAAAAATAAATCACACGTATTTTCCCGTAACAAATGTGAATATGTCCATATTCATATTCAGATGAAAAGATAACTTCAAGCGTTGTGATAATACACACAGTTTAAACTGACCAATGCCGTGGAAAACTGCGCCAATCAACCGTTATTTCGAGCGATAGCCTATCATAAAAACATTATAAAGGGCTTGGGAGGCGTAAAACCGTATGGATATTCTGCAACCGCTTTACAACGCCCGACCGAAATAAATAATTTCAAATGAGTTCGTATTTATGTAGATGCTTAAATCTAAACCACAGACGTTTGAAAAACAAACCATGAATAGGAAATGTAGAAAAACAAGAATGTCTTAGGCTATTGGAAACAGACCTGCTCAGACGCCATGTTGACCCTCCCTTTTCGACTGCGGTTGACAGCTCGAGAGTCGGGAAAGACAGTGGAGGAGACCACTTCATCCAAATGAATAAAATAAGACATGTCTGGCCAGTTTTAATACTTGCGAATCGTTTTTTATTAATGTACTAATTATATGAGCAAAAACATAATATAAGGCTAAATTGGAGGCCTTTTTATCAAAATTGTCCATAGCTGGATCACTGTAGCCGAAAATTGTCAGTGTTTATCACAGATGGTTCATTCCTGGCTATACCAGCCAATGGAAAAGGCCAGCAGCAGGATTCCAAAACAGGAAAGTCCACATAAAGCATGTCCATTCATATTTTTTCCATAGATAACTTGCAGGCGGGGCTTCTGAATAGACATGAGTCCAGACCATTTGTCCACCAATTACACAGAGCATGTTATGGTTGTTGAAGTTTAATAATATTAACGTTCGAAAATTATAATTGATCCAAATGTTAAAATGGCCACCTCATTAGTTTATTTTCTTTAGGCTATTACCTATGTGGACAAAAAGAGACGTGTCATTTATTGGACAAAAATTCATTAGGGAAATAGCTTTGTCTATGCTCCACTGTTTTTTCCTGTGCTTGACACAGCACCCACGTGTGTGTGACAGTATGACATTACAATGGTCTCGTTTACCTCACAGACAGCCGACTACACCTGTGCACCTGTATCATAAAGGAGCTGCCTGCAGAAGCAGCGCCGTGTGTGGGCTATCCTCCTCTCTCTCGGGAATAACCAGACTATTCATGAAAACAATGCAAGCTTTAGCAAACGTTCTCACTCTGTATTCTGAGTAAAAAGCGTTGCCACAACTGAGGTGGCGCTTGCCACCCATTGTAACGAAGGTGGACAAAACGTCAAGGGCAAGAATTTTTACAGCTGGTATAAAAATGGAGCCCGCGCCTGTCAAGTGGCGCTCTCGCCCAAGATAAAATCCCACGGTTGCCCAAGAGCGTTAAACCTTTCAGGATTAGGGAGGGGAGCAGACATGGCCGACTCGCTAAGGAGGCTGGTGAACACATCTTCCCTCAGCGTTATGCAGGACAAACTTGAGTGCTGGTACAAGGACTACCATGTAAGTCATCAATAATTTATTTAAACCCTAAATCTGGTGGCTGAAAAGGAACCAACTAGGCCTAGATAAGGCTACAATTATTATTTATATGTAATAGCCTAGTTGTCTAAATAATAGTAGTCTGTAAGAAATATGATATTGGTGTGGAATTCAGTAGGCTATTTAATTAATCACTTGTGTTCAATCAAATGTGTTCTTCCCTTGATAACTTGTTTCGTCCTTAAAATGTCTATCCACACATGTCTCTAAAATAACTTCATTAGCCTACTTGATTATGCCACACTTGATTAGATGTAGTCAAAGATATTAGAATAATTTGACGTTGGCATGTTTGTTACACTGTATCGCAATGGATTGAAACAATGTAACAATGTAACAGTAAAGGGATTCACTTGTTTTGATTACATTGATTTTGGAGTTTGGTTGCTATGGACGCCAGTCGTCCTGGCAACCGTGAAACCATTCATTGTGACTTTGAAAGCAAGTGTTTCGAGTAAGCCCCTGGGAGCATTTTGGTAGTAACCTGAAAGGCATGTCCTGATTGGACCAATGCATTATCACATACTCCAGAGACCAACTAGCGCATTTGACTCACTAGAAATCACAGATAATGTATTTTATATGCACATATCCTAGATTCAATATGATTATTAAAGATAATCACTAATCAATCAGCCATGTGAAGTCTCCTAAATTGACCCCGCAGCTGAGATTACATAAATACATGTTATTCTTTAAATCTAGAATCCTTAGTTGCTACATCTATTTTTGGACTTATACATTATTGATCTATACCCACTGATTCATGAACAATATAAAAGCCTCATGAACTTAGTTCTACTGTCAAACCCAAAATATAAGCTTGTTTTACTCCAATGTTTTTAAACAATGTCAATTTAAACATGGTTAAAACTATCATTTTGATATCATGGATGGTCAGTCCTTGCATCCATACAGTGAGGGAAAAAAGTATTTGATCCCCTGCTGATTTTGTACGTTTGCCCACTGACAAAGAAATGATCATTATATAATTTTAATGGTAGGTTTATTTGAACAGTGACAGAGACAGAATAACAACAAAATAATCCAGAAAAACGCCTGTCAAAAATGTTATAAATTGATTTGCATTTTAATGAGGGAAATAAGTATTTGACCCCTCTGCAAAACATGACTTAGTACTTGGTGGCAAAACCCTTGTTGGCAATCACAGAGGTCAGATGTTTCTTGTAGTTGGCCACCAGGTTTGCACACATTTCAGGAGGTATTTTGTCCCACTCCTCTTTGCAGATCTTCTCCAAGTCATTAAGGTTTCGAGGCTGACGTTTTTTGCAACTCGAACCTTCAGCTCCCTCCACAGATTTTCTATGGGATTAAGGTCTGGAGACTGGCTAGGCCACTCCAGGACCTTAATGTGCTTCTTCTTGAGCCACTCCTTTGTTGCCTTGGCCGTGTGTTTTGGGTCATTGTCATGCTGGAATACCAATCCACGACCCATTTTCAATGCCCTGGCTGAGGGAAGGAGGTTCTCACCCAAGATTTGACGGTACATGGCCCCGTCCATCGTCCCTTTGATGCGGTGAAGTTGTCCTGTCCCCTTAGCAGAAAAATACCCCCAAAGCATAATGTTTCCACCTCCATGTTTGACGGTGGGGATGGTGTTCTTGAGGTCATAGGCAGCATTCCTCCTCCTCCAAATACGGCGAGTTGAGTTGATGCCAAAGAGCTCGATTTTGGTCTCATCTGACCACAACACTTTCACCCAGTTCTCCTCTGAATTATTCAGATGTTCATTGGCAAACTTCAGACGGGCATGTATATGTGCTTTCTTGAGCAGGGGGACCTTGCGGACACTGCAGGATTTCAGTCCTTCACGGTGTAGTGTGTTACCAATTGTTTTCTTGGTGACTATGGTCCCAGCTGCCTTGAGATCATTGACAAGATCCTCCCATGTAGTTCTGGGCTGATTCCTCCCCGTTCTCATGATCATTGCAACTCCACGAGGTGAGATCTTGCATGGAGCCCCAGGCAGAGGGAGATTGACAGTTCTTTTGCGAATAATCACACCAACTGTTGTCACCTTCTCACCAAGCTGCTTGGCAATGGTCTTGTAGCCCATTCCAGCCTTGTGTAGGTCTACAATCTTGTCCCTGACATCATTGGAGAGCTCTTTGGTCTTGGCCATGGTGGAGAGTTTGGAATCTGATTGATTGATTGCTTCTGTGGACAGGTCTCTTTTATACAGGTAACAAACTGAGATTAGGAGCACTCCCTTTAAGAGTGTGCTCCTAATCTCAGCTCGTTACCTGTAAAAAAGACACCTGGGAGCCAGAAATCTTTCTGATTGAGAGGGGGTCAAATACTTATTTCCCTCATTAAAATGCAAATCAATTTATAACATTTTTGACATGCATTTTTCTGGATTTTTTTGTTGTTATTCTGTCTCTCACTGTTCAAATAAACCTACCATTAAAATTATAGACTGATCATTTCTTTGTCAGTGGGCAAACGTACAAAATCAGCAGGGGATCAAATACTTTTTTCCCTCACTGTAGCTCTGTCTATGAATTTGAGAGTGGTTACATTTCTCCAGGCACATCCCTCAGCTTTTTACGAAAAGAGGCGGGGCGACCGCTTTGTTATTGTTTCGATTAAGGACTAGCTTTAAATAGTGTGTCCCGTTTGTGTTGGTTCATTATTCTCAACCCTGTTTGCCACCTTCCTAGGTCATCTCCTGTGACCAGAATCTGAACAGGTGCTGTGAGTTGGTGGAGCTCACCTCCAAGATACAGGGACAACTCTTCACCATCCTCAACCTCACTGCTAGAGAGGGTATGTGTTTAAGCTTCTCCTCACAACTCTCCTCTCTTTTGCCTTACCCAAACAATTGTCTGATAATGCCTCTGTCACGTTCGTTGTGTAAAGGATCGGACAGCTGCCTCTGATTGGGAACCACACCCGGCCAACATAGAAATAGATAAACTAGATTATATCCAAATCACACCCTGACCTAACCAAACAGAGAATACAGGTGATCTCTAAGGTGCGGACTCCGGCCGCAAAAACCTGACTCATTAGGGGAGGGTCCAGGTGGGCTTCCAGCCTCGGTGGTGGCTCCGGCTCCGGCTTCGGACGTGACGTAGGCAGTAATTCATCTCCCATCCTGCCTCCCCGTTGCACGCCCGGTCCCGTCTGGACCCCGGCGAGATGCTCCCCTTCTCAGTCCTCCCACGATGCACCAAGCCCTGTCTGGACCCTGGTGTGGGAGCAATCGACCCTGGAGAGGGGCTGATGTCTGGTCCCGGCCCAGCAGTCCTCCCGCGATGCACCAAGTCCTGTCTGGACCCTGGTGTAGGAGCCCCCGACCCTGGAGAGGAGCGGATGGTTCCGGCATGGGGGAAGAGTAGACGACCGGACCCGGACTGGGCACCGGTGAAGTGGACTGCCCCGGCTCTGGTAGGGAGCAGATAACAGGAGCTGGACTAGGCACCGGTGGAGCGGACTGCTCTGGCACTGGAGTGAAGCAGCTGACCGGAGCTGGACTAGGGACCGGTGGAGCGGTCTGCTCTGGCACTGGAGTGGAGTGGCTGACCGGAGCTGGACTAGGCACCAGTGGAGCGGACTGCTCTGGCACAGGAGTGGAGCAGCTGACCGGAGCTGGACTTGGCACCGGTGGAGCGGACTGCTCTGGCACTGGAGTGGAGCAGCAGACCGGAGCTGGACTCTTTGGGCCATGGATCATCACTGGTGGCTTCGTGCCAGTGTGGGGCGCTGGCACAGGACGCACTCGGCTGTGGACACGCACCACTGGTTTGGTGCGAGGAGTAGGTACAGGGCGCACGGGGCTGGCGACACGCACCACTGGTTTGGTGCGAGGAGCAGGTACGGGCCGTACAGGACTGGAGACACGCACCACAGGTTTGGTGCGAGGAACAGGTACGGGGCGCACCGGGCTGGCGACACGCACCACTGGTTTAGTGCGAGGAGCAGGCACGGGCCGTACCAGGCTAGGGACATGCACCACTGGTTTGGTGCGAGGAGCAGGCACAACCCGTCCTGGCTGAACGCTCATTTTAGCCCGGCAAGAGCGGGGCGCGGGCACCAAGCGCACCGGGCTGTGAATGCGCACTGAAGATACAGTGCGTTTCACAGCATAACAGGTTGCCTGTATGGTCCCACGCTCCTTAACGCGAGTGCGGGGAGTTGGCTCTACTCTGAAACCTGGCTCCGCCAGCCTCTGCTCTAAGGACTGCGTTCTCTTTTGCTGTAGGGTTAACTCCTCTCTCAGCTCCTCCTGTTGTCTGGCCAGCTCCTCTCTCTGTGCATCCACTGACTCCTTCTCCCTGTGGGCCTCCTGCAGCACCTCCCTCTGAAGGGAGCTCTCCTGCTCTCTCTTAGCTAACAGCCCCCGTAAGGTAGTTATCTCCTCTCTCAGAGTGCTGAGCTGCATGTCTTGGAGGGCCTCTATAATAGCTGCCTCCTCTTCCTCCACAGTCAGCCCTTTCAGGGCCTCCTTCTGCTCCGTGTGTCCCCCAATTTTTTTTTATTGGGGCTGCCTCTCGTGCTTCCTTCGCGGTCGGCACCGTCGGCGTCGCCGTTGATCCTCTCCTGCCTGGGCTTCTTCCTTCGCCCAGGGTCCTTTACCGGCTAATATCTCCTCCCATGTCCAAAATGTCTTCCCCACCTGTGTCCAGGGTGTCTGCTCCTCCTGGCCACGCTGCTTGGTCCGTTGGTGGTGGGATCTTCTGTCATGTTCGATGTGTAAAGGATCGGACCAAGGTGCAGCGTGGTATGCGTACATGTTTAATATTATAAATAAACACTTCACAACTGAACGTGAAGTTCTAAACGCTAACAGCAACAAGTCTAAACAGAAACATAATCAGAAACAAGATCCCACAACATAGGTAGGCAAAATGGCTAAGTATGATCCCCAATCAGAGACAACGATCGACAGCTGCCTCTGATTGGGAACCACACCCGGCCAACATAGAAATAGATAAACTAGATTCTATCCAAATCACACCCTGACCTAACCAAACAGAGAATACAGGTGATCTCTAAGGTCAGGGCGTGACAGCCTTTTTTTCTTTTGAGTCAGGTGGTCACTATGCGGGAGTGGACGTGCTCAAATCACGTCTGCTGCCATGGCTGGGGACCTGCTTCTCCATGGCAACCTCCTCTGTCACCAATGACACAAGCCTCAACCTCATTCAGGTGAAATCATCTGTGTTCTGTTATGGTTGTACAGAGATTAAATTATTCTTTAAGTACAAATTATTTATATTAACTTATTTGTTCTATTCTATTCTGTCCTGTGACATATTGTGAATAAGACAGTGATAGTCAAGGCTAAATGCTGTGTGTTGTCATGCAGGAGTCTGTGGAGAAGGAAAGGAAGATCAGGGAGCTGTCTGCCTCCCATGAGAACGACATGCAGAAGATGGAGACTCAGCTGTGCTCCACTCGCCTGCAGCTGGAGTCTATCAAACAGGAGTAAGTCTGCACTAAACAAAACAATATTTGTTATTAATCTATACAATGGACCTACTCATTTCAATCCGACCAAATAAGTCTACACCAGGTAACGTATGACTAACTTTCTGGTCTAAGTGTTATTCACCTACTGGTATGTTAAATGGGTTTACAGACTGGCGGATACTCATCTGCAACTGGATGACACCAAAAACATGTCAGCCACAACTCTGCTGGCCACAGAGGATGAGATACTACAGCTGAAAGCAGAGTGAGTGATACTGTACATACTGTTATACAGTTTTGTAAAATGTTCATGTGAGTATTAGTTGTCCTCTTTGGCTTATTGATGTGTATGTACTGAGGTTATTATTGTGTGTATCTGTGTGTCAGATTGCGTGCGGCCTGTGACCAGGTGGAGACCTACAAGAGGAAGCTGAATATTCTGGATGACTATGAGAGGCAGGGGCGTCTGCTGAGGGATGAGGTGTCTTTCCTTACAGCAGAGAAGAGCATGCTGCAAGAGAGGTGAGCAGGACACACACACACACACACACACGCACACACACGCACACACACACACACACACACACACACACACACACACACACACACACACACACACACACACACACATACACACACACACACACGCACACACACACACACACACACACACGCACACACACGCACACACACACACACACACACACACACACACACACACACACACACACACACACACACACACACACACACACACACACACACACACACAGTAAATCTAATTTCAATTTCTCTCCTCCTCCCACAAGATGGCCCACAATGTGTTGAAAATACTGTATTTCTTTTTACTTCCCTCTCTTTCCTCTTTTGCATGATATTTTGAACACATTCCTCTCCAACATTCCCTCCACTCTCCCTTTGTATCTCTGTCAGGTTGGTGAGGAGTCGTTCCCCCAGCCCCCTGCCCAGACGTCGCCACCACTCCAGCCCCCTGAGGAGTGAGTCTCCCACCCGGGCCCAGCTCACCAACTCGTCCCGCCACGCACGACTTGTGTCCCGCTTCAGTGACCTGTATGCTGTGGAGCGCCTGGAGGCCCAGAGCCTGCTAAGACAATACATAGACGACCCGGAGATGGTCCAGATAATCATCTTCATTGCCACTGTGGTATGACATCTGGACACCCTGTACATATGGAATAATGCTACATACAGTACAACCTGTGAATTTGATATGTCAGACCTGAGGTGTTGGTTTCTCTATAAATCTCCTATTCCATACAGTATCTCTCATCTCTAATCTCCTGTGTGTGTGTGTGTGTTTATCAGGAGGCCTTCCAGGCAGCCAAGCTGGCCTACCGCCAGTTCAAGCTGCGTGTGAGGAAGACCCTGTCTCCCTCCCACCTGGGGCCAGAGATCCTGGAGGACTCAGTGGTGGACTACATCGTCAGGAACCTGGACCTCTACGACGTGCAGGCCAGCATTAATGTATGGGCTACACTTTTCTCTCTTACTGACATATTACAAAAACCTGGAAATTCCAGTCACCTTTACATTCCAATTTCCTGAGTCTCATGCACTGTAGTTCATTGAGTGTTTGTTAATAGGAGGTGTGTGTCTGAGTGTATTGTAATGTTGTTTCCTCTCCCAGGACGTGATCAACGCCATGAATGTGAACCCACGGATCTCCTTCCCTCCGGAGGTGGACTTTGTCCTAATCAGCGGTTTCATCAGGGAGACATGCAGAGTGGCGTTTGCAATGCAGACACTGGACCCTCCTCTGGACTTGGCCTTTACCAGCGACCGAGAACTCTACAGCGACAACAAGTCAGTCTGCATCCATTAACTTCATGAAATAACAATAACAAGATGAGATATATCATTTCTATCCCTACCACTAGATGTCACCCTTGTCACATATTTACACTCCTCTCTCCTTTTTCTGTCTCTCTCTCTCTCTCTCTCTCTCTCTCTCTCTCTCTCTCTCTCTCTCTCTCTCCTATCTCTGCTTCTCGCTCTCTCTCTCTCTCTCCTCTCTCTCTCCTCTCTCTCTCTCTCTCTCTCTCTCTCTCTCTCTCTCTCTCTCTCTCTCTCTCTCCTCTCTCTCTCTCTCTCTCTCTCTCTCTCTTTGTCTCTCTCTGCCAGGTATCGTCGTAGCTATGACTCTGAGTTTACTGCTCCTCTGGTGGTGTACCATGTGTGGCCAGCGCTGGTGGAGGGGGACTGTGTCATAGTGAAGGGAGAGGCCGTCACCAGGAGAGGAGCTCTGGTACTGATGCACCTTCATTCCCTTCAAAATAACTGTAGAATCATGGGCTTTGTTTTAGCAATTATACATGATCACAATAGAAAATAGATGATTGATGTGGTTTCTCTGCTGTCTTCCAGTGGCGGAGCAGAAGCAGGAGCTACAGTCCTGTTCGTTCTCACTCTGGCAGCCCCACACGCACTCTCGTAAGTTACTACGACGACTGAGACCTAACACTCAAGAATGTCACAAATATCAACAAACCCTTTGGAAGGTTGTTTAGATATGATTTATTGTCATTCTTTGGGACAGCCCAGTGTTTTATGATGCACTAAAATAGCAGCTGGGAAAGCTGTGCATGTGTGATTTAGTGTTAAACTTTTGTCTTACCACCAAAATACATACATGCATATCCTGAGCCCTTAGGGTAAGTACGAAAACACCAGTAACTCCTAGACGTAGTATTAGTGGGAGATAGTAACTAAACCTCAAATCCAAAGATGCAAGAAATGCTCAGTGTAACGGACAGCTTTTATCTCCCTTCCATCTCTCTCTCTCCCTCCCCCATCTCTCTCAGGCCTTTAGCCACAGCAGAAGCCCCTCTCCTGGACGTCTCTCAGCCAGTCGCCTCTAAACCCTGACTGACCACTGATCTATGAAAGGAAAAGAGAACACTCTACACATCTATTTCATGTTTGCAACAAAGTCTGATTTTGAACTTTAATGGACTGAATCCTGTCTTCATTGTCAGTTGAGATTACTTGAGATTCCTTCAGTCATGGACGTTGCTCCAGAGTTTACAGTATACTGGAGGGAAGGTCTATGTTACCATGACAGTTTCCAGAGACTGGCATGGTAACATGTGTGTGTGTGTGTGTGTGTGTGTGTGTGTCTATGTGTGTGTGTGTCTATGTGTGTCTATGTGTGTGTGTGTGTGTCTGTGTTTGTGTGTCTATGTGTGTGTGTGTCTATGTGTGTCTATGTGTGTGTGTGTGTGTCAATGTGTGTGTGTGTCTATGTGTGTGTGTGTGTGTGTGTCTACATGTGTGAGTTTGTCTATGTGTGTGTGTCTGTGTGGGTGTGTGTCTATGTGTGTGTGTGTGTGTGTGTGTCTATGTATGTGTGTGTGTATGGGTGTCTATGTGTGTGTGTGTGTGTCTATGTGTGTGTGTGTGTGTGTCTGTGTGTGCGTGTGTGTCTGTCTGTGTGTGTGTGTCTACATGTGTGAGTGTATGTGTGTGTCTGTGTGTCTATGTGTGTGTGTCTATGTCCATGTGTGTGTGTGTGTGTGTGTGTGTGTGTGTGTGTGTGTGTGTGTGTGTGTGTGTGTGTTGTCTATGTGTGTGTGTGTCTATGTGTGTCTATGTGTGTGGTGTGGTCTATGTGGTGTATGTGTGTCTATGTCCATGTGTGTGTGTGTGTCTATGTGTGTGTGTGTGTGTGTGTGTCTATGTGTGTGTGTGTCTATGTGTGTCTATGTGTGTGTGTGTCTGTGTTTGTGTGTCTATGTGTGTGTGTGTCTATGTGTGTGTGTCTATGTGTGTCTATGTGTGTGTGTGTGTGTGTGTGTGTGTGTGTGTGTGTGTGCGTGTGCATGTCTTATTATCTTAGTGGTTCTTAAGTTCTTAACTGCACATATTGCAACTCCAAGATGAAAGTGTGTGGTTGATTGTATTTCGACTTTTAATTATTTTAAAGGACATTTAGACCTGCACAGTAGCACTTTCCAAGACACTTAGTTTAGATGTAATCTCTGACCTTGAACCTTGATAGACCTAGGTTATAAGGACCTCTCTTTCTGAATTCCTTTGATTGTAAGTCTCAACAGTGTGGACATATTGGTAGAATGTTTTTTTTTAAGTCAATGATTTTCTTGTAAGACACATGGTGCTAAAGTTCAATCAGAACTTTTCAACTCCACAAAAACGAGAGAGATTGGTATAGCTGAGAATAATGATTTAGCATGTAGTTTGTAAAGTAATCAGTTGCTGTGTATGTTTATTTTTGTTGTTGTTGTGATATTAGCTAGATGTGTCGTTGGGAAGGATTTGGAGCAATAGATTTGATAAAAAGTGATACACAAAATCTTCTGAAACTTGAAATGGTTGACTTGAGAAAATATGACTTTTTTGTCCTAAGGATGTTGCTTACACACAAGATCCCAAAACAACATGCATTTAGGAAAATTGTAGGGCTGTAATCAATGAAATGTGGATCCTGACTATTTTCACTATTTTGAAACGTGTCTTTGGCAGCTGGAATCATTGTACAGTATAGTATTTAATTTAGCCTCAAACAGTGTGTGAGTGTTGTGTGTGCTAAATTTAGTGATAAACAAAAAATACTTTAGCTTAAATATATTTGTTATAATGTACTCGTGCTGCATTTGTCACTGAATACAGAATACCAAATTATTTACCAAGAGATTGTGCCTTTTATTAAAAAAATACCAAAAATTAAAATATTCAGAAAAAAGTTACTATCAATGTCTTCTAAAAATTAAGACTAATGTTATTATTGTCTTCCTTCCCCTCATCCTCTGTCAGGCATTTCCTGCTAAACACGCTGAATGCTAGTCAGTTATTATGATCGTGTTGTACAATAAAGTAGGCTATGGACAGGTCCATTTGGGGATGGGAACAGGTCCATTTGGGATGATGATCCCATTAACAATGTGGTTTTGGTTTGTTCATGATGTGGGTGGCTGTTCAATGTTGTTCCATGTCCCTGCCACAGTCTGGAGACCAAACAGAGACAGGCCAACAGGGAACATACCAAACAAGTTACTGTGGTACACTGTTTAGAAAGACTGATTCACTGACCATGAGGACAAATACAAATAAAACTGCCGTTGCCAGGGTATCACATAACCTCCCCCAGCCTTGGCCTTGGCTGTACGTACAGAGACTACAGCAATGTAATTACAGAATGACTCAGGACTCAAGCCGACAGGAAAATTAGAAAGCACTGTTTGGTATAATGCATGCAGACGTGCTATGAATTCATAAGCAGCAGACCTTCTATAATTTTCAGCATGAAAGCCCTGCTCTATTTTACTCATCCTGTACTTTGTGTTCTCAAAGAACCCTGGTTGAAGTTATTCTTACTGCAGGGAACTTTTTGGACCACAATGTTCTTCCCTCTCTCCCGACTATAGCAAATGACCCTTCCATCCCCCTTTACATTCCCAGTGCCCACCATAGTGCATGAAAGGAAAAACAGTCCTGTTCCCTATGAATGAGTTAGAGTTGTCAATTAAAAGTATGCTTCACCATTCTAAAGGTTTAGAGCTAGAGTCTCATCATAGTATTGATCTCAGTGGGTCTGCACTGATGGGGGTCTGCACTGATGGGGGTCTGCACTGATGGGGGTCTGTACTGATGGGGGTCTGCACTGATGGGGGTCTGCACTGATGGGGGTCTGCACTGATGGGGGTCTGCACTGATGGGGGCCTGTACTGATGGGGGTCTGCACTGATGGGGGTCTGCACTGATGGGGGTCTGCACTGATGGGGGTCTGCACTGATGGGGGTCTTCACTGATGGGGGTCTGTACTGATGGGGGTCTGCACTGATGGGGGTCTGCACTGATGTTAAAAGCTGAGAGTTCCGGTAGTACTGCACACAAGAAAGACATTAGAGGGCACTGTTGTTCCACTGTAGAGACTAGACTCTGCAGGGGAGAAGAGTGGCTCCAGAAGGAACAAGGTTTTCTTTAGAGCCAAAAATACTGTAGGTTTCTGACTTGTTAAAAGAAAAAAGTAAATTTGGGCTTGTCCTTGGACTTTCAAAGTCATTGCACATCAGGAACTTGAAGCAAGACTAAGTGTGTACGGCTGTGTAATTAAAGTAGGGCCTAAACCATGACTCTCTATTAAGAGACACTGAGAGCCATGGAGAGAGGAAGGGGGAGAAGGAAAAGACAAGAGCAAGTATTGAGGAGTAGAGTCCCCAACCATGCTGAAGAGTGTGTGCTTGCAGCACATGTGTGCTTTCGTGTGTGTGTGTGTGTGTGTGTGTCTTTGTGTGTACATATGAATGCACTCATTAAGCACAATCTCAGTGGTGTTGCCAGCCTTGTGTGATCCAGCATTCCCAGTCCCTAATTAACACAGTCTAATTAGCGCTCACTCTCCTCAGGACTTGCTCAGTCCTGCCCTGCTCCCCTCACAAGCCAAACACATGACACAATTGGCTGTTTAAGCCCTCTCCAGTGCACAAAGTTCGCCCCCTGCTTCACAGAGCAGACACCAAGCTGAAACAGGCATTAGGCCTACTTCCACCCTCCAGGGCCTGTTGGTTGATTAAACAGCTCTGTTTATGATAGCAGCTCACTGGTCATAGTGCTTGTTTGGCAATGAGATGCTTATAAGTTAATGAGATGTTGTCCTTGTTTGTTGATTAGATTCTAAGAGTTCTAGGTTCCTGGGTTGTATTTGTTGTTTGTTGATTAGAATTGCCGCCCTTTCAGTGGGAGTAGATGTTGTTTGGAGATTAGATGGTGGTGTTGTAGCTGCAGTGATTATGCTCAGATCAGAGGATGTGGATTCACTTTCTTGTGGTTAGAGTGGAACTGTTGCTGTATTCACAAAACAATCAAAAGGTATATTAACTTCACACCCAAATGATTGACATGAGCTCAACTAGAAACAGCATCTGTGTCTGTGTCTAATACAGATGGATGTGTGTAGATTGTGTGACATTGGTTTTGACATGACAGTGAAACAGTAAGACATAAACAAACACTCCTGATATATTATGTCTCCCTGGCAATCAGCCAGTTTGAAAAGTCTCCTCACATGAACTGAAATATCCTTAACCCATGTGTTAGTGAACCAGTTCATCCTGGGGACCAGGGGAATTCTGTATGTATGGAAAACCCCTGTTTGTTCTGGAACGTGCAGAAACCCTCCATCCCTCCATCCAGGATGTCATGGAAACTACAGCCATGTTTCCTCACCGCATTCCCACACCGAGCGTGTCCTTTCTGACCTGGCTGGCCTGGTCCAATCAGCTGTTACCATGGCGTAGATGGGACCGGGTCTACAGGGGCTGTGCTGCTGGACCACTACACTAGTGAGAGCTGAGAGCTCTCCCTCTCTGAGCTGGGGGAATGTTTACACAGGTGTACTGTGGTCAGCCGTGGTCATGGAGGGGTTAAGCACAGAGCTCAGTAGCCCTGAGGCGACAGATGGGAGAGAGAGAGGGGGTCTCTGTTGGCTCTGCTGGGTCTCTACTGGGGACAATAACAACACTCTCCCCTAGGGAGAGGCAGGTCCATCCCAACATGACCATACTGCACACTATATTTACTGTATGTATGAAGTCACATGCTATAACACAGATGCATGCACATACACATTCCTTCTCTCCTTTTCTCTCTCTCTCTCTGGACTTTGTGGTTTCCTGTCTCCACCTCATCTTGTTCCATACCTGGGACTTGGATGTCCAGTAGAATGTGTAATAACCCCTATCACAGTGCAGATTGTCTTTTCTAAAATTCTTTATGGGCTGACGGGAACGGAGGAGCTGAGACCTGTGGTGGTAAACTTAGAAGCTTGGAAAAAGAGACACATATGATCTATTGCCCTAGTTACAGGTGTGTTTTTCCTGACGCTGGGCCCAGGCTAAACCTTTGGGGTC